ACACAATTTGAGCAACAGTTTGAGAAGATCTTTTTGTACTCGCCTAGTTGTGCTTGCGGGGGTTGAGCTTTAGCTCTTTGGTCCCGCCTCTCAACCGTCAATCAACAGGTGTACAGATTCCTGAGCCTATTGGGCTCTATCATATCTACACTTGAAACTGTGTATGGAGTCAGCTTCCACCACATCACTTCCTAATGCATTCCATTTGTCAACTACTCTGACACTAGAAAAGTTCTTTCTAATATATCTGTGGCTCATTTGGGCACTCAATTTCCACCTGTATCCCCTGTTTGTATTCACCTAGTTGTGCTTGGGGGGGTTGAGCTTGCTCTTTCGGCCCACCTCTCAACTGTCAATCGACTGTTACTAACTACTAACTCTCTTATTTTTTCCTCTTCTTGCTCTCCTCCTCCCCCCCCCCCCCCCCCCCCCCCAACACTCACGCATAGACACACATCCAGGAAGCAACCCATAACAGCTGTCTAACTCCCAGGTGCCTATTCTTACTGCTAGGTAACAGGGGCATCAGGGTGAAAGAAACTGCCTATTTGTCTCTGCCTAGTCCAGGAATCGAACCCGGGCCACAGGATTACGAGTTCCGCGTTGCTGTCCACTCAGCTACCGGACCCCTGTGGCAATGTATATATGAGACTTGCCTCTACTAACTGCAAACCTGTCTTGGGACCTGGGGCTTTTAATTTTACTCAGAAGTCAGATTTTTTTTGAAGTTTTAAAATAATTAGTTGGTTTGCTATCAGAAATTATTTGACTACTACGTACTACATAATAGAGCAATGTCTGCTTGCTGTCTTATGTGATGGCTATTTTTCATAAATATGATTTTACTAAGCATATACTATTTATTCTCTCCTTTCCTTACTATGTGATACAGTTTATTAATTGTTGTAAGAGATGGGGTGCAGTTTTGGATCAGTATAGTTATGTAATTTAATCTTGATGGAGTATATTAGGCATTATGCTATATATACAGCACTGGGTACAGTATTATTAAATATGATTATATGAGGGGATTAAATTGAACCAGTTGTAAATTTGAGGAGTCCTACTGTAGATAGATTTCTTGGAGATGAGCTACATGTGTAATACAAAGTCTCTCTTCTTCAGGAGAAATAATTTTTAGTTATCGACTGCATAGACAAAAAAAAATTGGCCGGGTTGAAAAAACTGAAACCTTCAGAATGTCAGTCGTCTTTTTGTTTAGTGTAATAAAATTAAAAAGTGAATATTGATTATTTATAGTAAAGAAAATTAATGTTGCCTGATATTTTTAAATTAGAAATAATGTCAGCATATATAATTGGAATTTTTTTTTATGAAGTTGAAATTATTTGTTACATTACTAAATTTTGTGATAGCAGTTCACACAATTTATTGCATGATAGGTTTTTAATGTTCTGTAGAAATACATTTAAGATTTTCTGTTGATTGACTCATAATCAAAGTGAAATCCTTTCCTTTGTCTTTGAGAGACGCTTGTGAAATGCTTCATATGTGTGTTGAGTTCATTTATTTCCTTGGCTTAAACAAAATCTTGAGACCAAATGATGTGTGTATAACATTCTGAAAAGAAAGATATAGTATTTCTTTTTTGAATGCAGAATGCCTCTTGTGTGTCTCAAAACTTGCAGGGTCTTTCTTTAAATTTTATGTACTGTATTTTTTCCCTTATAAATTTAATTTGGGCAACCAGTTTTAGGCAGACAGTCAACTATAACACCGCAGCAGAATGTGACCTTCATGAGCTCAGCATAGTGTAGGCATTTATTTTAGTGTCTGGGGGTGCAAATAAGTCTTCAGGTGCATCATTAATTGTTTGTTTATTTTCCTTGTCATTGTATTTTATTGGATATAATTGCCAAGACTCAAGGTTACCACTGAGTGTGTGATTGATTCTTTATAATATGATAAGGACAACCCATCCTCGTGTTTAGGTAGTATCTAGTGTGACGATCGTCAATAGTCACTAATTCGTACGTACTTAGTTTTTAGATAGTATTATACTGACTAGCAAGGAATTCTTAAGAAAAAAATATGAAGCTAAAAAACACTTTGATATTCCTAGACCTAGTATAGCACACAAGTATAATATTAGGCCTCAGATGTCGTGTATCAGGCCTAGGAAGGTTAGGTTAGTTTAACTTTGCAACACGAGTGAGAAACTGTCTTCTGGTTTGTCCAACTCAATAGTGTCGATTTCCACTTCCTAATTTCGTTGTAGGTCGGTATATATACTATGGTCCTCATTATTACTTTAAGTACTACCAGAACAGGAGGATGGGCTGGTTTAATAGCAAAGTGCTAAAAGGATCATGTTGTAATTGACTTGATTATCTATGGAGATATGATTAATTTGATTAGTTAAGGGCTCTGAAGTTTCCATTTGTTTTATCTTGTTCTACTCTTGATAAATTATAAAATAATTGTTTTAAGTGCTCCGATTCAGCATGAGTGAGGAATTTTCCCAGGCAAATTAACCATGCCCTTTGAAAATCTCATCGCAGTTGGTTAACTTTACTTGCTTTTTTTTTTTTATTACATCAAGAAGTTCTGAAGCTTCACATGATCAGTGCGTAACCATGAAGTCAACTCACAACGAGCTGAGAGAGGACTCTTTATCTCATTACTGTTATATAAACCACTTTTCCAGCTCTACAACTTTTTCTTTTATATTGTAATGATGTCTATGCCGTTTCGAGGCCCCACACTAATGCATTTTGTTTCGTTCACCCTGTACAGCCGATCTTCCGTGCTGGCTTGTATGCTCACGCGACCTATGAGCGCTCACGGCTCTAGGTTTGTATGTGTGGTAAGCCCAACACAGGAGCAGGCAGAATGACCCATATTATCACCAAGGCTTCGACCAGCCTCTGCACAGGCAAATTTTTAAAACTTAATATAATTCAAGTAAATAGTGGCATTTTAGGCCTTCTGGCATGTTGAAAATTTTACTGACTTGCATAGTAATATTTAAATTGAAAGGGGACTTGCTAAACGTGATTTATATTGTCAACTTTCATAACTTTTAATTCTATATCAGCTCAAGCTGGGAATACAATACTTTAAATATCTGCCGGTGATTTCCTATACATCTGAAACTGATTAGGTTGAAGGAGTGCAGTTTATCTTTTATCATTTGGTCAAATAAGCCTGAGTAGGTTCTTTTTGTGTGAAATTGTATAGTAGATGGAGAGGTACTCTGCTGCTTTTATAAGCATGCTACTAGCTATATGCTCCTGGGTTGTATGTAGTGAGGGGGGTATACATTTTTTCTTAGGTTGTAGTTGACTCATTTTAGGTTCAAAAGATCCTTGGGACAGTTACATACATTTATTTGTGGAATTTAAAGTTAAAATCAATGATAGGAAGGGAACCATGGCATGAGCACTAATCAGCTTCCAAGCCATAGGCGATGTGTTCATCCATTATAAAGTTTATGATTGAAAGTATCCGTTTGCCATAACTTGATTTCTATATTTTTGTTTGGATAAACAAAATGCAAATTTTTGTCTGTATTACTGATTAAAAGTTTAGTAGTCAATAGATGGTGATTGTTATGAGAACATTTCTGGGTGATTGGCAGATTAAGGCAAGGGAGTTCTTGTATTGGTGTAACGCAAGTTGGTAAGTTTTAGCCTTTCACAAGATGAATCATTGAGTTTATTGGCTTATCATGACCATGTAAAGAGGCCTGATGACTAATGAAGCAGTGATTCTAGTTGTGTTTGGCAATTTACTCCTAAACAATGGTGCATGATGAATTCCACTGCATAGCAGTGGTGTTTGAGTGTCATTAAAGTAAACAAAATTAGCCTCAGTGGGATTGATAATATTTTTTTCATAAATTTTGAGAGTACACATTTCCTAAATTCAGCATTTATTTTATTCATTCAATTTATAGTTCATAACTATTACAAATAAACTTTTATTCACATTGGGAGTACATTAGTTGTTACTCGTAATAGGATGGCGAAAAGGAGCAAATGTCTAAATGCATATACAGTATGGGTAAGTGAAGAGGGTGGGGTTGGTGTTTTGATACTCAACACAAACATATGGGTAAGTGATTGGGGTGGGATGGAGTTAATACTCAACACACTCTTGGGTAAGTGAGTAGGGTTTGGGTGGTATTCATTCTAAACACACATTTAGGTAAGTGAGTTTGGGTGGGATGACGTTTCGTGTCGGCATACAGGCGTTTGGGTAAGTGAGTGGTAGGTATGGTCGGTAGGTAGAGAGATACTAAAAAAAAAAAAAAAAATCAGTGTAGATAATTGTTCCTTGAATTGGAAAGTTATACTATTAGCATTGTATATTGTCATGAAGATGTAAAGTTGAATGTGTTAGTGTCAAACTTGTAATTTTTTGTTTATGAATTGATAATGGGTAAGTTGGGTAAGTATTCCAACGCCCTTCGATGGAAATCATGGGAAACCCCCCCAACCTTCACCTCAACTACCGGGCGCCCTAGCTTACTGTATCTCTAAAGGTATGCCCAGGTAACACAGTTTCTTTTTAGTTGTTGACTAAATCACAAAGTCAGTTTCAAGTCTTCAAAATCATGACTACAAATTCAAGTTGAGAAAATATAGCATTGGGTTCCTGTGGAAAGCTTGCGTTTAGTTTCAAATCCATAATCATTTTTGAGAAACCTCCTAAACACAACCATCCATGACTGGCCCTTACCTGCTCCTTGACCCAGCATTCATATCCTTCCTTTACCCATAATTTTTTTTTTAATACACATTCGCATATAAAGGTTGATTTTCACTTGTGGATAACTTGGTTGTCAGCAAGTGTCAGGTATGACTACAAGGTTTGCACCTTGTAACCAGAATCCGGTGGCTACGTCTACGAGGGGAACGACGACGAAGGTCACAGGACTGGTCTCTTTTGTTTTTTTGAAAATATCTGCCCTTTATGCAGGTCTTTTAAAAGCCTGAAAAATATTTTGATTTTAATTATAAAATTTCCTTCGACAGCGGCTTACAAACACGCTGATGGCAAGAAGATTGACAATCGTCGAGTTTTGGTCGATGTAGAACGTGCTCGCACAGTCAAAGGCTGGTTGTCTCGAAGATTAGGTGAGTTTACTTGTACAAAAACTAGTATTCTTTATTTTCTAGTTTTCCATATCAATCTGACACCGTATACAGTAAAAGTAATGAGGCAAAAAGTTACACGAGGCCTACCATTGAACACTCATTTGACCTAGATAGGCGAGGTGATAGGTACCTTCATATCATTAGCATACTGGTCCCACTGTCAGCTGAACACAATCTCAAATAAGGGACAAATTCATTAAGTTTTTATGTATATTGCAAATCTTTGAAAAATAGTAAAGTTAATTTATACAAAATCTATGCTACATATTAAAATGTAAATATCAATACACTAATTACAATTCTTAACAAAAAATTTTATTTTAAGTAAATTTGACTTGTTATAGGCAACTCTGGATAATAGGTACTAAAATAAGTATTGTATATATTTATTTATGCTATATTAAGATTAATTAGAATATTAATTTGCTCATTAAGTAAACTAATTTTCAATGATGGCATTTTGCAACCATTCTGATATATCGTGTAGAGAAGATGGATACTGACATTTATTACAAGAATGATTATCTATTTTTGTTATAATGTCCCTAACTATTACTTTTTTATCTTAATTAACTTTGACACCAGGTAGGTACTTGGTATTCTTGTTTTACCTGCATTATAATGCTTTGTCCTGTGTTTGGTAGTTGTATACTAGCTTTTATCTAACTCGGTTATGTATCTCGGATAAAATACTGTATAGCTTTGTGGCAGTTTTTATGAGCATGAAATTCCTTGGTTGCATTGAACTTCTGTGTTCACCTAGGTCTCTGCTGGCATGTCCTCCTCTTATGGATGATTGTTGACTATTGTTGCATCTTGGGGGGGCTGTCCAGGGCCTTTGGGACCTTTATTGCTCCAAGTGATGTTGCATTTCTGGCTGGTTTGATTCTTATGTGGTGTCCCATTAGGGCATTTCTGTGTGCCTGTGGGCACTTAGGTTCACTCTCTTGGTGCTTAGAGCCTGTGGGTCCCTTTTGCTGTTGGAATTTTTTTTTTTCTTCCTCCAACCTTAGGCCTTGGGGCATGTTTTGTAGTTTAGCAGCTATCATTTGTTAGTTGCAGCAGCTATCATTTGTTAGTTGCAGCAGCTTGTGGCTTCTAGGGAGGTAGGGGGCACTTCCTACTAATTGTGCATGGAAGTTGTCCTTGAGTGTGTCATTGATACTCTATGCTGCTCTCTGCTGATGTTTGAGGATACCTTTCTCTTCTTTTTCTCTTGGGATGGCCCTTGGTGCTCTGTTTGGCCTTCCAGACTTCTGTTTTGTGTTTTTGGGAGCCAATTCCATTTTCTTGTCTGCTCTTTTGTTTGCTTCCATATATGCTGTAGTGGGATTTGTATTTTTTGCCCCTGTAATAGAGGCTGGTTTTTGAAACTCCATATTCTATATGGGCGATAGTGCATCAGGATCTTCTCGGCTGCCCTTGAAAGAAACAAGTGGGCTGCCTGTTTACCTCTTTTACCTGGCTTCAGTATACAGTATCTTTAAATATCTGCTTGTATGGCTAAGATACTACCATAGTAATATTTTTCATTAAGCATTATGTAGTTGTGTATTGGTGTTTTATCTTGTTTGCTAGAATTTTGAAGAATAATGCATATGAAATTTAATTTATTCATGATAGTGGAACCTTGGTGTACGAATTTAATCCATTCCAAGAAATGCATCATAAGAATAATAATCGCACACTGAATCGATTTCTTCCCATAAGAAATAATGTAAATTGAGTTAATCTGTTCCACACACCCAATAATAATAATAATTTAAAAATACATTTTATGTATAGAATACTAATTTTGTCATGCTCAAAACACTAGGAATAAATGTAAACTAAATAAATACATCAATATTTAACTGCACTTTACTTTTATTGAGGATTCTTATTGGCATATGGAAGACTGAGGGGAGGACAGGTTAGTGTTTGGAAGGGGAGTCCCCTTCCATTATTATAACAGGCAGTCTTGACATTTCTCCTATATTTTGTAGGCGTACCACTAGGACCTGGTTGTGGCTCGCTGGTTGTTTCTCTCTGAGAATCTGTCTAAAGACACTTGTTTTTGCCTACGTGTTAACAATTGTCTGAAGTGAGACGTCATATTATCATTTAAAAGGTTAACATAACGGCCTGCTACAGCTTTATCTGGGCGAGTATTTTCAGCAAAACATTGCAGTTCTTCTCATACTGCACACATTTTGTAAACAAGGAAGGAACATCCTCCACTGCTTCCTTCCCTGAAGAAATTTCCTCGGCTGTCTCTTGTTACTGCTCCTTGTAAAGGGCTTGAAGTTCTTTTGTGGTCAGTTCATCATTGTGTTCCTCCAACTCCTCCATATCAGAACCCCTCTAACTCCAAGCCTAACCTCGGGACCAGAGAGAGAATAATTTCCTCAACGAGGCACAACAGGTTAAGGCTCAAACCCCTCGGTCTCGTTCTGGAACACAATCACGCCACAATTTTCTCTAGCCAGAGTTCATGGTTTCTTTTTTTTCTTTTTCTTCTCTCCATCCTGCACCAACTATTTTCTTAGGTTGAACTTTACTATTAACTTTCTTGGTGCCCATGTCGTGATATATAATAACTTCTGTTCAACAACAACAAAAACTATGAAATTCTTCATGGAGAATTCAAGCATAGTTATCACTAGGTGGGATACAATGGTAAACTGATCTTGCCTCAACCCACACCTCACAACCCAGGGGCATGACCCATTCAAGTATGGGCAAGCAATTTGTATTCCTTTTACATAGGGCAAATTTTACAACAAAATTGTCGTAGTACAGTACACTGGAAAAATTTGTATTCGGGTGCAATCGTTTACCAAGGTTCCACTGTAATTATGTGTGCCCATTTTTCTGTCGGGGCCAAATGGTTTCTCTGTGTTGGTAGCTGCATTACGATCGCTACACACATACAAGTTACATCAGCCCTAATAGCCTACTGGAAACCAGAGGACAAAATCTTAAGAGGCATTTGGTGATTCATAATCACCAAAGAAACAACCCCCCAGAAAGCAAGTGAAATAAAACAAACTGCAAAGTTCGCTGAAAGTAAACAAACAATGCATCAAGCAACTCTACAGATGATCCAGTCAATAGTTAGGACATTCCCCTCTCTAGTTACAGCTGGCCACCACCATGTGGCAGCTCCAGTGGAGTTGCCAACTCCCCATCAACAATCCCCAGTCCTTTGCTTAGGATTCTGCTAGAGGTCTTCCTTTAGGGTCGCCAAGACTGGGGAGATGCCTGAAGTGGGTCCCTTGGATGCTCTTCAATGCTTCCTAGTATTTGGTTCCCTCTGCTCCTTCCCTTGTGGATTTTTGTAGCTCGGTAGTGTCCTCGGGCACATATTTCAGGTTTGTCATTCCACTTTCCCGTGTTTGGCTCTGTTGGTTTCTTTTTGGTTACTATTGAAGGATTGGGCCTCTAGTTTCCTTGACCATTCCTCTCTGGAATATGTGTTGGCTTTGGCCATTAAATTGCAGTTATGCAGTCCCTTCTTCCTGGTTTGCGGGTATCCATTTTTTTTCCTGAAGACTTGGCACAATTTTGGTGGTGCCTATGCGCTGAAGTGACCTGAGGTTGGGTCTATATTTCGGGTTTTCTTAGCCTCATTTGCCCTGCTGGAGGCTTTGGAGTCATGCCAGTTTTTCTGCTTCTGCCATTGTTATATGGGCATTTGACAGCTCCATATGGACCTCGACATCAGAGGTTCACAGATCCCATGTTCATTTTGGATTCTGCTGTGCTTTTCTCAGTCCTGTTTGGGGCATTTTGGATGATTTGGCTTTGGGGCTAGATTTTGAGGCAGTGTTATCCATAGTGCAGGTAGATACTTCCTTGTCACTGTTTTGTAAGTTGAGTGTATTCACCTCCAGCATGCCCATTCTCCTGAGCTGTCTTGGTTTCAGGATAAGGGGGTTAGTTTTTTTGTCTCCTCAGTCCTGTTGCTCTTTGGTCCTCCTTGATCCCTTTTTCATGGGTTGACCCTGGCAGGCAGTTTCTTCATCTGCATTCTTCTTCTTTCTAACACTGAAGAAGATGGTTGGTTTCCTATGGTATCTTTTGATTTTTTTTTTTAGTTCGATTTGGGTGCATCATTCAAGGCTCAAGTTGTTTGTTGATCCAATCTCCTAAGCCTCCCCTGTTCCAGAGCTCATGTTTTTGGGTTGTATGCAGGATCTTCAAAATCTAGCCTCCCTGGGGTTGGTTAAATTTGAAGATCCTACCCCATGTACAATGGTACACTGTACCATTGTACATGGTACAATGTACAAACACTGTACTAATGTACCAGGTACATTGTATTAGGAAGTTTGTGGCTTGATGTGTTTTCCAACATCTGAGCCAAGATTTGAACTTGGGTATTTTAGAGGTCTTCCAGGGTCCTGCTGGCTTGTTACCTGGTCCATGTCCCTAGTCCCCATCTAGCCTGTGTTGCTCTGTTATTAAGTTTTCCCTTCAGGGGTTTGATCAATCTTCTCACCTGGCGAGTCACATTTTTCTTTTGTTTCATTCTGTTAATAAGAGGGAGGCACCATTTTTCCCTCCAGAAAACCAGAAATAAATGCAATGAATTTCCTCTTTCTTGGGGGACCTTTTTTGATGGCTTCCAGGACGAACCTCCCTGCCAGGTCTTTCGGTTGGTCATTTTTTACTGTCCAGACTGGAAATTGTTAACATGGGAGCTGACATCTCCTGTGGTGCTGCCATCTGATGTTCTGGTGTAACTATGGGGGTTTAACTTGACTAAAAAATTGTTTGCCGAGTTGTGTGCTGCATTTTCTGTGAACCTTGCTGATGTTCACTTCTTTTTGAGTTTTTTCTTCAGTGAGGGTGATTATGGATCCCCTGGTCCCAGTGCTGCTGTGAGGTTTTGGCTTCTGGTCTCCAGTAGGCTATTAACCCTTAGACAGCAGCTATTGAGAAATGGTCATCCTGCCAATAAGCAAAAAAAAAAAAAAAAAAAGGCCTTATTAATTTGTATGCAAAATGTAAGAAAACACGAAAATGTTATTCTTGCTGTTTCTCCTATTGTCTATCACTTGTTTTTCTTTGAGTGTGTTGAATAACTCGACAAATCACACAATTCACATAACACACGATAATGTTTCAATTGATGATGGGTTTACCTGGTCTACTTCATTACAACCAGTACAGAGTAGTGAAAAGGACATGAACGTAATATTTAATGGTGTTGGCCTCTTGGCAATGACATAAAGCCTAATTGGTACCATTTATAGAGTAAGACTAAAACATAGGCATAAGCTACCAATGTGGCACTGACAGATGATAATCATCATATGATAACCACATTCACCTATGTAACACTACCATGAAACGGTAGAAAAATTTGTTCAAGGGTCAAGGTAAACTCCATTACATCCACATAGACCTATTACATCCTTATTTCCATCATACATGTAAAACCCAGACAATCATTGTTTAATTTGTCATATGATAATCGCTGTTCCCTGTGAATCAACATATGACTATTACTGCTTTGTAAGGGTTAAGGATTCCTAAGATAAATATGAGTTATGTGTGTGTGTGCAGCCATTTCAGTGGGGCTAGTAACAGAGCCACTGAGGCTCCCCAGGATCAGCCATTTCATTACATTCCAAGCCTGCTTGATTCTTTACGATAAAATGTTAAGCATTTTATTGTGATCAGTTTTATTCTTTAATCAAATGGGGTATTATAATAGATTAACACTGCAAATGCCCTTGAAAGTACTTGTAATAACTTTTAATAACTATAATTACTTTGTTTTTATTAAAAATAATGTTTTTGAAAGTAAATAAAATTTGGCTGTTACAGGTGGAGGTTTGGGAGGCACACGTCGTGGTGGACCAGATGTAAATATTAAACACTCTGGTCGTGAAGATGACCGTAGACGTGGTGGTAGTGCAAGGGATGAAGATCGTATGGCGTAAGTATCGTACAAATATTAATTTTCAGGGGTCTCCTCTTTTTCAAGTACCACATTTGAGATAACCTGAAATGTGAGAGGGATCGTCCACCTTTTGGGGTTTGAAAATACCACCTTTTCAAAGACTCAAAATTCTGTAGTTTGGAATTTCCTCTTATTGGCCATTCAGCCCATGGAATCATTTCTAATTATTAATAATTTTATAGTAAAAAAAATCATTGAATGTAATATTTTTTTACGATTTTCCCTTTTTTTTTTTTTTTTGTTTGAAGAGTGTTTACAAATTAGCCTTTGAATTTATAAATCTTTTTGCTTTGGTTAAAATAATTTTCACTTCTCAGGAGTAATGATCGGGAACGAGTTGATAGGGATCGTGACCGTGAGCGTGAAAGAAGACACACCCGCAGTCGAGAAAGAGAACGTGAACCAAGGGAGAGACGCAGGAGGTCACGCAGGTACTGTAATTTGTAAATATATTTGTTTCGTAAAAACTAGATCAAGCTGGATGATTATTAAGAGTACAAGTATTTAATATTATAAATGTCCAGCAAATATAAAAAGTTCTGTACTCGGAAATGTCCTTGGAGAAAGTGACAAGGATGCCTGTGTGTTGCTCTACAAGAAGTTTGAGCCAAAGTGGAAGTAAGTACAATACAATGTTGAAGGTTGGAGAGTTTGAAGCTATAATGGAAGATGTTATTGAGAAGGTAAAAAGGCACCTGGATGGATTGTAAGTCAGTAAAGCAGTTGGACTGAATCAGATATCACTGGATATTGAAAGAGACCACAGAGATACCATGTAACCCTCTGCCTAGGATCTGTCACATTAGCTAATTGGAAACTTAATGAATCCTAAAAGTCTGCAAATGTTGTCTATATTTAAATAAGACAAATATGATATCTTAAACTATAGAAGTCTGTCACTGACTTCACTATCTTGCAAAATAATGGTTAAAAGTATCAGGAGGTTGCAGATTATCTGGAGAGGAATAATTTTGTGTGAGAAATGACATTGTTTTAATGAAAAGGGGAGAAGTGTGCCTTATGAATCTGATCAAGTTCTCAACAAGATTACCAAGATTCAGCTGGATAGAAAGATGGGCAGGAAAAAAATAGAGTTCATAAGAGTTCAGATTTTATGCTCATAAAGACAGTAATTAGAGATAACAGAAATGAACTACAGCTAATGACGTTTGAAAGAGGACACAGGTGACAAGATCAGTGTATAAAATATGAAGGAGAATAGACATTGTGATAGAAATTTTTGTTTTTCCTCCTAGGTGAGGAATGCAGGAAGGAAGAATAAGGAAAGAGTTGTCTGTAGCGAGAGTGGTAAACAAGTGGTATGAGTTTATACCAGAAGTAGTGGAAGGAACGACAATTCATAGTTTTGTGAAAAAGTTTGACCAAATATGTAGTCTGGAGTTATAAATTCAGTAGACATAATACTTCTTCCCATAGACAACCATGTAAGCCATAGAAATTTATCAATTTAATGGAGTGGTGCACAGAACTTGCTTAAAATTTCATTGTGGAAAATATAAAAACATTAAATTAAAAATAAAGAAATGCACCAGTGGAATACTTAAAGAACTGTAAGTATCTGAAGAAAGGGAAATTGATCTATATAGAGCTCTTACAGAAAGAGTAAAAATTGAAACTAATAACAGACTGAGAGCCATTTAAGAGATGAAGATATAAACAAAATAGCTCGGAATTGGAATTATAAACTCAGTTGGCATTGGTTTCTTTACTTATAAGTGGAGTTGTATAGAGGATAAGAAGGAAATGAGCAAAATTCTGAAAATGGGTATAAGTAGTTTGTTAGCAATCTGATACACAACGTAGTTTCTTGTGAGTGTTGCACTCACAAGGCTTGATATTAACACAAACCTCAGTGTCATTCAGAAGACCAGCCTAGATGCAGGCGAGATACAAATAACAGGATACATAGGCTCGCTACGTTTTTGCACTAGCATCAGTCACACAAGGCACAAGACTGAAAGTAGTGCTGGAATCTCCTGTTAAATTGAAAACAAAATTTTAATAACTAATTAACATTGATAGACCAAAAATGTATACACATACTCTGATGCAAGATGATACTACCAGGAGTCTTCTGAAAACAGTGCCTTGTAAGTTTTGCGCTGTAGCAAGTCTTTCCCCATAATGTTCATATCTTGGAATCTTTTCATTTGGTATGTAAACTTTCATCACCGTAACCCAAATAGTTTTAAATTTGCAATTTCTTTATACAGTGTGACCCCAGTGGAACGGACCCCGTCTTTACGGAGCCCTGATGCAGCAGAAGTGTTGCGTTCCGGTCGAGACCCAAGTGCAACAGAAAAGTTCCGGACGAGTGGGGTCGCGTCTTCGATGCGCTCCCGAAAAACGTAAAAATTTAGCTAAATATTTATTTTTTATTAAAATGTTTTTTCCTCAAAATTTATTTTGGTATCAAAATATGCGCAAAAATGTGTTCTGTCGTTTACAATAATATAAACATAACTGTGACCAAGAAAAATGGCTAAGATCATAATTATGGCCAAATTTAGATGGCAGTAATTATTGCATAACATGCATAATTATTGCCTTTTTAGATGAAAGTGAAAACCATGTAGCAGAGGGGCCCGGAGCGGATTGATCCATTTGAGTGGGGTCACACTGTTTGCAGTGATTTGACAGCCTCTGATCAATATCTCTTGAATTTTTTTTTTTCCAAAACGTTTTCAAACCTATACAGGATTTCCTTAGTTCTGTATAATTAACCTTATTTATTTTCGGTTGTTTTGGCCAGATTGATTAGTTTTTAAATTGGGTGTACTGATCTTGCTCCCAATGAACATGCAAGTACCCCTGCATTCTGTTTATCTACCACCACCACTTGCACCACTGCCACTCGCCAAATGAGGATTTTGACAGCCTCCAAAAGTAGGCAGACAAATAGCTGGTAGAATGTAACTGCAACAATTGTAATGTAATAAACATAGGAAAGGGAGAAGAGTAACCAGGAAACATACCATGAGTGAATCTAGAGAGATGCATGAGAATTACTATAATTCCAGTACTATCTCCAGAAGCAAGTGCATATAGGATAATGTGCGCAGCATGTGATTAGCTGGGAAACAAAGCCAATAGTACTTTAAAACTTAACAAGGTCTTTTGATTTAGTTTTTCTTTATTTTTCCAAGAATATCTGCAAAGCCCAAAACTAGACTATGCACAGCACTGGAATGGCCTCGTTAAGAGACTAAAGAGACTAGGAATCCACACCTCGTTAAGCTCAAATCTAAACTTAAGTATTACTTAAGGGAGGGAGTATTAAATAAGGGAGCCGGTCGGCCGAGCGGACAGCACGCTGGACTTATGATCCTGTGGTCCTGCGTTAGATCCTAGGCGCCGGCGAGAAACAATGGGCAGAGTTTCTTTCACCCTATGCCCCTGTTACCTAGCAGTAAAATAGGTACCTGGGTGTTAGTCAGCTGTCACGGGCTGCTTCCTGGGGGTGGAGGCCTGGTCGAGGACCGGGCCGCGGGGACACTAAAGCCCCGAAATCATCTCAAGATATAACTCAAGATAACTTCCTGCAGCACACTAATCAAACTCGAGGCAGGCAATTATTGTCAAGTGTAACATAATGAATGTGAGAAACGAATTAGGGTTGGAGACCGGACCACAGGGATGTTGATTCCATAACAAACCCAAAGTTAAGAAATGAAGAGGGAAAATACTTGAGGGGATGTAATTGCAAAATTAACGTCAAAGGCACATGTAAACAAGAATTCAGCAACATACGCATAAAAGGAATTTCTTTTTTAGAGTGGGCAATAAATAAATATAAATACTCGTAAAATTATCTATTTGCATGCCAAATGTAAGGTAACTGCAAACAAATAAAGTACATGTCGTGGGCACTGGGAGATTACTGAATCGGGGTTATTGGTCCTTGGGCTTGTATCATAGTATTACTGACTCATGAAGTCAAGGCTTGTGTTGAGATGATTGTGTTAGGCAGTTGCCTTTTGCATTTTTGGTTGCCTTTTTTACTCAAGTTTACACAATTGACTAAAGTGGTGAGTACTGTATACAGTCTACAATGTAATACGTACACGTGTATTGCATGTACGCTCGAAGGAAATATCTTCCAACCCACTCTGTAGCTGTTATTCTGTATAGTAATATTCAAGCTGTGATTTGACTGACTGTCTTTCTGGTGTTACAAGATACCATTGTGTACATTAAGCGGATTATGTACAGTCAAGAGGGGTTAGTGCCTAATATCCATGAAGTCTTGGTGGGATTCAGCAGCAGAGGACAAATAACAGTAATTTAATTGGTTTCCTAATGTGTACATTAATGAATTCCTATTAAAATGCCATCTTTCATGGCAAATTGAAATTCATAACAAATTGCAGATGAATTTGCAATCTTTTTATTGACTTAACTGGATTTTCATTTATCCAGACATCCGAGGTACAAAATGGTTGTTGTTCAAAAGTGCACTTTGTGTGTCTTGTACACCAAATTTTACAGCATTTGGATACCTAACACAACCTTTTAGTTCAACAGTGACATTAGATTCTGTTGCCAATCAATGGCAGTTATTGCTGGGACTGGGTACCAGTTATAAATCTAAAGGTCATGGAACCTATATTTGAGAGTTTCTATAGGCATTTGGATAGTTTTTTTATATATATAATTAAGCTAAAAATTAAATCAGATTTTTGTAGGACCCCTTGCCTGCTTGTGGATATCCTACTTGATCACCCTTATATGGGGGAAATTGCCAAGTAGTAATGATGACCAATCCACAGCTCGGAAAATGGATAAGCACTGACGTTTTGGTCCATCCTGGACCATTATAAAGTTGATCACACGACTATACTGGTCTGGGATGGCCCAAAGTTTCTTTGCTTCTCCATCTTCTGAGTTGTGGTTTGGTCATTTCTTCAGCCACATTGACTCATTGTCTGCAGTGTCAATTATTTTAATGGTTTCATTCACTTTATTAAATGGAGGAATTTATAACAATAAGAAATCAGAATCTTCTGTATCTACAGCATGTATATTATGTGTAAACAGACCTTTCTTTTAAGCTACTATTCTTGTTGATTAGATTGGGGCTGTAAAACATGTCCTGATTAAAAATATTTTAAAATTGTTTTCACTTTTAGGAAAAATAGTTGTTTATCATAGTTAGTCAATAATACATACCAACATAGAGTAAACTTGTCAAGATAGAGAAAGCAAAAAATTCTCAGTAGTCAATAAAGAGTAAATTACTCATTTTATGTTGTAAAAGTTATGTTTTTCTGATTATCTATTTATGGCTCTTTGACTTCTTCAGCCGAGATCGGAAACGTCGAAGATCTCGTTCTCGTGAACGTGGTGCAACAGTACCAGAGGAAGGTGATGATAGAGAGAAGAGACGTCATAGATCGCGCTCCCGTGACCGCAAAAGACGTTCAAAGTCACGTGAGAGGAAACATCGCAGAGAACGGTAAGCAGATTTTTAAAGTGTTAGTGACTTACATGTGTTTATAATTTATTTTATAATATGAAATTAAATTTGGTAATTGTATGTTTTGCAGGGACCGAGAAAGACGTGAGCGTGTTCCTGGAGAAGAAGGAGAGGAGAATATCAAAATCAAGCAAGAACCAGAGGATGGTGAGTACTGTACTTAACTATTTTGACATGGGACAAACCATTTTAAGGCGATATTGTTTTTATTAGGGATTGAGATCACTCTTGACCCTTAAACTGCATAACTGTTGAATGGTAACATCCCCGTTGTGTGCTAGAAAAAAGTTCTGAATTTTTTGTCGTCTTTTGACTTTAACTGGCCTCCAGGAAGCACAAAAATCCAAGTAAAAAGTGTCTATCTCTTGTGGTTTAGCTTGCAGTGGCTTGGAGAAGTTGCGATTTTTTTGGGTTGGGAGGACGAGGGGAGGGGGGCCGGACTGGGACGGAGGAGGGTTGCCGAGCCACAGTAACGCGTAGCCGGGTACAGCTAGTAATATAACGTGTTTATATGTATGTATATATATCCTATGACTGCCTTTTGCATAAAAAAGGGCAATGTCATAGGAAAAAATTGGCACTTTAAACATAAATATTTCATATTTTAAAAATATTATTTATATGGTTATGATCAAAGTAATTGGCATTTGTATTTGTTGTTTTTCAGACTATCCTGATTATGAAGGTTCATATTATAATAACTTCCCCATGAAGGATGAAGATGAGAGAGCTAAAAATGGTACTAAATATGAAGAGGAAGAGGAGGAGGCAAATAATGAAATTGATTATTAATTTTTGTTTTAATAACAGATTCTCAGCTGTACTAGTCTTACAGTTTGTAGGCTATTAGATAAAATAAAGTATAGATGTAATCGAGATATAATTAACAACCTCACACGTTTTAGGAGTAAGAGATCAGTAAGATAATCATAAAATGTGATCAAATGAATTGTGTAATACATTAGTCTTTAAATATTTCTTAAAGCCTGTAGTAAGGCTTGTTGCTGAAGGGGGCTTGCTTGCTCGGTGTACTTTCTGGTAACGAGAGTAATAGATGCTAATGATTGTTATACTGTACATGGTAATAAATGCTTTTGAATAATGTGTTATTGTATTCTTTGTGGAATAAGATTACAGTATTTTGCCCAGTAAATTGTGAGAGTTTGGAATATAGACTGTTTAAGAGTTCAAGATTGAAATGTTTTTTTTTTTTTATGTACTCTGACCATAGATTATGGCCATTATGTCTGGTAGGTTTGGTTGTACAGGTGCAGTATTCAGGTTCTTAAAAATTCTATATTGAATGATGGCAAGTTATGACAATTAACACCATGTATAAAGTATTTGTTTTGATGCTTCAAGAAGCCCACTACCTAATTAGTTAAATTATTTAATGAGAGCATTATTGCAGTCTTCATATCTTAAAAGATTGCCCACAAGTAAAAGCAGCAGATGGTACAAATCTTGACACACTCCAGCTTCACCTGTGCACATACATACAATGAAAATAGTATATGGGTTGTGATGTTTTTGATTTTTATGACTGACTTGGTTCTTGATTGTCGTGAATACAAAGATGGAGCAAGTTTGCTTTGACAATTTAATCATGACTAAAAAGTTACCGAAATTTTGTTCAATTTGGGTGATTTGTATCCTAACTTTCTTTATACTAATATTTGTTGCAACAAATTTCATGTTGGGTTCTGTTGTTAAATAATGGTTGTAAGAAGACCTTCACTTTGTATTTGGAATCTTTATATGTTCAAGTTATTGAGTATTGTAGTGTAATGTGTTTAAATGAATGTAGCTGGTACCAGAGGACCTTGCAATACACAATTCAGTTCATTCTGTCTAGTATGAAAGCTTTACAAGAATGCACACAACTCGGTTTGGGAACATGATATTCTAAATGTTTTAAAATCATATAGTTTTAAGTACTTATTGCACATGTCAAATGTGCTGCTTTTGAGAAATAATTTTTGTGTAAAAAAATGTGGCCAAAGAAGTGGATATTTTATTATCCTTTTGAGTATACTCAAAATTCGACACTATGAATGAACCTACAGTGATTTTTTTTTTAAACAAATGGCAGGCAAAGGATAATATTCAGGAGTTGAAAATGGAAAACATTCACAGAAAAGGAAATGTGTGAAATATTAAACGAAAAGTTCCGAAGTGTGTACAAATTGAGATCTTCAGGGAACCAGAGAAGTTAAGAATTCCAGAAAACAACAAAATGTTTAGAGATGAAGTTAAAAAAAATAATGATCAAGGAGCCAAGAATAAAGCAGTTGGATTCTGAGGGAATGTGCACTTTAACTCTGCATTCAGCTTCAACTGATTTTTTCAGGCATCCCTGTGTACAGGAGTGGTAAATGTCGGGAAAAGCCTAGCATAGTTTCAATCTACAAAAACCGCAGTAGGGAATACCCCTCAATTATAGACCTGTATCATTGCCAAGTGTAATAGTCAAAATATTAGAAAAAAATAAAACAAAGTTGGTAGAATACCTGGAGAAAAAAAGATATATCAAGACAGTTGGCTTGGTTTTCGATCTGGAAGATCCTGTGTAACAGATTTACTGTTTCTATGAAAGAACCTAAAAAAGGCTTTCGACTTGGTTCCACGTAAGAAGTGGTTCTGGAAATGAACATATTTGAGGGGGTGAAAGTTTAGTTTCTAACCTGGATGAAAAATTGATAGAAAAATGAGTAATCAGAGGCAGTGCATCGGACTGGAGAAATGTCATAAGTGGAGGGTTTAGCTGTTGGACTGGTAATGTTCATTGTCTACATAAATGATCTACCAGATGGAATACAGAATTATATAAACATGTTTGCTGCTGATGCTAAGATAAAAGGGAAGATAAGAAACTTAAATGATTGTCCTGCCCATAAAGACGACCTGGACAAAATAAGTACGTATATGGAGCACCACTTTACAAATGGAATGTGGAATAGAACATAAACCCCACACAATCTATAAATTATGTGAGCAATCTAGCGAATTCTGATAGATCTAGGGGTGGTTCTAGATCAAAAACTATCACCTGAGGACCACATAAAGAACATGGTGCGAGGAGCGTATGCAACACTTTAACTTCAGAATTGCTTTTAAATACATGGATGGTGAAATACTAAAGAAATTGTTCATGACTTTTGTTAGACCAAAGCTGAAATATGCAGCAGTTGTATGGTGCCCTTATTTTAAGAAGCACATCAACAAGCTGGAAAAAGTGCAGACATGCCACCAAGTGGTGTCCAGAGCTGAAGGATGAGAGGTTAGAGGCATTAAATACTGTATGCTAATCTTGAGATGATTTCGGGGCTTGGTGTCCCCGCAGCCCGGTCCTTGACCAGGCCTACACCCCCAGGTGGAAGTAATGGGCATCAGGGGTGAAAGAAACATTTTGCCAATTTGTCTCCGCCTCCACCGGGGATCAAACCTGGAACCTCAGGACTAGGAATCCGAAGCACTGTCCACCCAGCTGTCAGGCACCAAGACTAGAAGTTAGAATAAAAAGAGGCGATATGATCCCCACATACAAAATGGTAACGGGAATCGATAAAATTGATAGGGAAGAATTCCAGACATGGAACTTTTAAGAACGAGGTCATAGGTTTAAACTAACTAAACAAAGCTGCTGAAGAAATATAAGAAAATTCACTTTGCAAACAGTGGTAGATGGTTGGAACAAGTTAGATGAGAAAGTGGTAGAGACCAAAACCAGTAATTTCAAAGCGTTATATGACAAAGAGTGCTGGGAAGACAGGACACCACAAGTGTAGCTCGTCCTGCAACTACACTTAGGTAATTACTGGTTAGTGACTTTAAAGTACAATCTAAAATATATATATACAGTATATATATTTTTTTAAAAGTGGTACATTGGTGTGCTGTAAAAATGCTGAATTTGTCAATAGTTTTGTTTCATAGTGATTTCTGCAAAATGGACATAATGCAAGGGAATTTTATCTGCATACAAAATAACAATGTGGGGCTTGTATGTATACCCTCTACTGGCCTAAAGTTAGGAGCTAATGGTAAGGCCTGCGAATGCTTATTTCCCCGTTTTCCTTTCATCTGGATGTTGTCTATCTAAAAAAGTTTAAGGAGGCTACTTGCACTTGCATTATTTAAAAAAAGATAACTAAGAATGAAAATAAAAGAAACACTTCACCAAAATAATAAACTTCAATAAGTCACATGGGCTAGAGAATATTAACATGTACTGTACTGTATGTGTTAGTCTTTGATATAGCTTTTTATTATTAAGTAATTTTTTTTACTTTCCTTTTATGTATCATCAGATCAAACATTAAATCCCTTGTAATGTATTTCAGTAATGAGTAAATGTAAGTTTTTAAAATGGTAAATTCAAAATTTTTTTTTTGGTTTGCAATACAGTATATTTTGTCTTAAACTTGCATAAATAAATTAGATAATGCATAAAAAAATAGTATATTACAATACTGTCTAGTATTAGGATCTATATTCCATACAATAGTGTAAACGATGTCCGTGTGCAATTTGCCGTGCCACTGGATTTTTACATATTCTTGAGACCTGCTGAAAACTTGTGTAAAAAGAGCCAGATGTTAAGATAAAAATAACTTTAAAAGGTGAACAGGTGATACAATCACTGCAATAGTGCAAAGGATTGGGTTAAATGAACTGTACATATAATATATTTTAGGGAATAAAAGCAAGCTATGGAAAAATGCTGGTATAAGTGCTAACAATTCTAATATGGAAAATAAAGAAGCCTAACTGCGTAGTACTGACCATGTATTATAGTACTGTTTATACAATACTGTGCATAACACGGTATTCGCTGTACAATTATTTGCGTATATCACAGTAGTGAATACACATTACATGCTGTACAAGACATGAAGAATTTTTTTACCATAAATTCACTTTCAATTGTTTATCAGAGTGGATATTGCGCAACTTGACAATATTTACCACATACTATTCAGCTGACCACAAGCGCATTCATTAATGGGGTTCAATTTTAAAGTAAAGGATTAGGATAAGAAACATGTTTAATTGAATTAAAAACAATGTTTCTTAAAAATAAGAGCGGGGGAGTTGTAAGATGCGATATTAATATTACTATTCAGTATTTGCATTATAGTACAACTGTAATTAGTGGTCTATTAAATTATTATTATTTATGGTGTATAGTTTGACCATATTTTCTCCATTCGTTTTGCTTTTTAATTTGTAATGTCTGCCAAAGTAATCCTCATCCCAAACATTATTGTATTTAACAGCAAGCAAGGGAAAACTGTTTCACTCTCAATTACTAAATCTTATTGTGGAATTTGCATCAATATTTTTAGTACACTTTAAGTAAGTAAGTAACTATCAAAAAGAAGGCACCAAACCGGGAAGGTTATGTAGAACCATCAAATGTGCAGGATAATCAGAGGGCACTAAATATCACCAAGGACGCCAATACGAGAGCAGAAACGCATAAGGCAAACGATATAAAAAGTATTTGAGTTAGTACACTTTAAAATGAAGGCAGATGAAATGTCTATGGAAGATTCTGCATGAAACCAACATTGAAATGGAAATTTCAAGTGAATATTACCATGTATATAAATAAAAATTAATTGACATTTAATGAGAATCTTCCCACAATGAGATTCTCAAGTTAAAGCTAAGATTAATTTTGTATATCACATAATAAACTAAAAGGAATGACAAATACAGTAGCTTACAAAATATTTTTGGTAATATATGAAGCACAAATAAGTTCTTAAATCACAGTTTGGGTAAATTATGGCAACATTACTGTTTGTACTGGGGCAGTCATGACCAGAGCAACACTGTATTGCATGGGACCGTGTAAGGCACTGACTGGTGCAAGTTGAAGGCTCACGACCTCCAGTCAGAATATTACTCAATATCATTTACTGTCCCTCACAAATATATATCCGTAAGTGGAGATAGATATTTTTTGCTAACAACACTAAATCACATGTAGAATTTGTGAACTGAAGAGAAATGTTTCCTTGAACCATCTCATATCTTCAAAAACAGTACTTTGTTCAGAATGTTCTCATTGCTCAATAAAAGTAGACACCGAATACTGCAGCTGAGCAGAAGAACGTTTCCTGGAAAATACAAATGATTATTAAACATTATTGACAGTCAATACAGCACTATAAATGGTCTACTTAAAAACATAATACTGTACTGTAAAGAGATTAGAACTGCACAGCATAGTCTTAAGTGGGGCCTCATCAGTGCTAGATATAACTGAAGGATAATATTTATGCTTCTGTTGGTGATGCTAATTATATGCCAGCATCCTTTTGCTTTATTTTGTCCAATGATGTACTGTATTGCTATCTGGGCCACAGGTCACTGCTAACCTTGACTCCTACATATCTTGCACAATTTAATCCACCCATGACTATTATTTATTTGCTATGTAGGATCACTGTCTCTACATAGTGATACATTATTATTAATAACTGCATGAATTATATTTACTTACCGCCAAAAATACATCAGAAGCATAATTGTCAGTATCAGCATCCCATAAACACCGAGCACCAACCTTAACACCTTCACCTCGCTGCTCACCAATTACAATATTTACAAGAAACTTGTACCGAGGAAGGTTTAAATCTGAAAAATGTTAATTATTAATGTAAATACAGCATCTGACCATTGGCTAAATTATATATAAATAATTTTAAATAATTTCAAACAAATAAAATATAGCATAAATGTGGTATGCATGCATGTTTGGTTTGTCAGATTAATCATCATTGGGTTTGGCCAATGTGATGGTGTGGTGCCATATCACCTCACCTATTTCTTATCATTTTTTTATGTATTTATATGTACTGTACAAGAGTTCTTATATTCTTGTACAGCCACTAGCACACAGCATTTCGGGCATATCCTTAATCCTAATTTTCCCCAGAATACGACCCGCCGAATTGTTTAAAAACCATGTACCCATTCACTGCTGGGTGAACAGAGGCTACAGTAAAGGATTGGTACCAGGTCAACCCTCCCCAGCCAGGATATGAACCTAAACCAAAGTGCTTGCGAAGCACCGAGCAAGTGTTTTATCACTACGCCTCGGGAATTGCCATCTCTACAGCTGCTTTCCAATTACTGAATATTTTTTATTCCTAGATATTTTTAGCAGCAACTGTGCTGTGGCAGGTAAAGGAAGGATTTGTTGCTGGGGAGGAGTTGGAACTGGCAACATGGTGGCCCAGCTGTTTACATTTTCCAGATGACAATGTAATCTAGCCTATGTCATTAAATATGTTCTCCAAAAAAGGACCATCTGTTTAATCATAATATTGAGTTGGATGGGGTACCACCACTAAGATTTATATAGCCAAGAATTCAGGTATAACAATATGAATGCCCAGTTCATTCTTGGGAAGAGATACGATTAGCTTGTCTGAAGTTTCAGTAAACATGATTGAGGGCAGCGTATGAAGAGGCAACAAGAACCGACACATACTGTACTCCGTTTATGAATGCAGTCTTGCACTACAGTCACCAAGGAAGCCATGGTCAAAGATACACCACCATGGTGTATCTCTGATTCATGAGAGGAAGGCCCATGATCTAGATTGTCGCCTCAGAGGGATTGGTCAACTTTTGTAAAGCCCTGAAGAGTAAAGAGTGGAAAATATGTCTCCATGTTGGCACTCATTACATTACATACATTACATACTAGTGGGCAGAATGAGAAGTAGGTAAGCACAAGAGTTTTAATTATGTTCTGTGGCAAGCAGATGAATTAAAATGAGAATTCATTGAATTTCAGTGACTCAGTCAAGAGGGAAGATTATGTCAAAGTGAACATTTATTAACTTTTCAGTTGTCCAGTCAAGGGGGCTAAACACTTAAAATGCTTTACAAGGTTGCAATATAGGCATTGCCTAGTAATATTAAAAAAAAGGAGATATAATGTAGATCATTCATTATTTACTGAAAGTTACACAACAATTGGGAGCAGCAATAAAGAAAGCTAACCAAACCCTTGGAAGAATCAAGTGTACCTTTGACTTTAAGGAAAAGAAGGTAGTGATTTAATTGCATAAATCTCTGGTGTGCCCCCATTTGGGTTACTGAATCCAAGGATGGGGACTTCATCTTCAGAAGAACATAGCTGATCTGGAGAAAGATCAACAGTGGGCAACAAAAATCATACTTGAATTAAGTCAACTCATGTATCAGGAATGTTTGAGGGCTAAAGAGCAAACAACATTGCAAACCAGGCATGACAGGATGGCTCTCATTGAAACTTTTAAAATACAGAACAATTTGGAGGAGGGTGACCCAAACAATTTCTTCAAAAAATTAGATGCAACACTAACAAGGAGCAACAGTTTCATGCTCAACAAGCCACAATGTAGGACTAAAAACAGGAAATGCTTTGTCACCCACACGGTTATAAACCCATGGAACCACCAAAGTCGTAAATAACAAAACCATTTTAAATTTTAAAATCCAGTTAAAAATCATTATCAAGGCAAACGGGGAACCTTTGACAAGCTGCTGGCTTCCTGTCCTAGTTGAGGCCGCTAGTGTTAACGGCCCTCAGGTAAATTCAGGTAACCCAAACTAAGTCACTTAAGTCAGTGGCCTGGGGGAAACAACACTCACTTCGATGTGCTTGTAGGGTGAAGAAGTCTTCTCATATTTGTGTACAGGTATATGCTAAGCCAGCAACCAACTTGTCTGTCTGCTCTCCCACTTCCTAGTCAGACTAGGAAGTGGTCAGCCAACCACTTCAGCCAATTCAATTCAGCCAACCTGCCCATAAGTAAGTAAATCACCCTGGCTACTTGTCTTTCCACCCTCCTACTTGCAAGCATGCAAGCCAACCAGCTATTAAGTCAGTCTGCTAACTGTCTGTCCATCCTTCTACCCAGAAGCATGCCAGTTAGTTAGCTAGCATGCCTGCCAGTCAGCCAGCCTGCCCACCATCTTATCTATCTGCCCTCCAATCCACAAGCCAACTAGTCAGCCACTAACTAGCCAGTCAGTCCAGTACTGTAACTCATTCTTGCCATCTCACCCACCCTTGTAGATTTAAAATTCCATATTGCATATGGATCGGTGAGCGTGTCTTTTCTCAATATTTATCATTAACTTTCTCCTTATTTTCTGCCATGTTAATTGTTCTGTTGGCACAGTGCAATGTGCCAAAAGAACTTTATTTTACAGTACAGTACTACATACATATATTTATTTAATTTTCCCATAAGATATTTTTGCTAAATACCATATTAAAACAGTTTTTAGAAACGCAACCCCACACACTACTGGGAGTGCATTCTACTCTTATATCTATTAAGTATGACATGTCACTCACCTAAAAGTTTATTTCTGAGAAGGTCAGCCAAGGACTTGGACATTTCATCTCCAGCTTCAAGACTATACACAAACCCTGTGAGGTTCTCCACCAAAGTGTTGTGGATCACATCACGAACTACACTGCTTCGGAACCTGTTAGTAAAATATTTTTACTTTAGTCCTGAGTTTGGGTCAAGGAATTATGCAATCATACTATAGATATTTTCCACATGATGTCATGTGACCATGTGTTGCATGTAAACCTGAGGCTGTAGGATTGAATGGTAACAATCTCTGTATTAATTCTATGTCAGTTTTGAATGAGCAGCATTGATGGTTCAAGTATTAATGACAGCTATTTCACTTTTGAACAACTACAGTAATGAACTCTATAGGGTAAATAGAGGCAACAGTTTTTGGGATGTGCCTAAACGACTCACCCTAATGGGAGTCAAACTAGTTCAAATCAGTTAATTTAACTTAATTTTGCTCCTGGTGGCTAGTTTATTGGGCAGCATCACTCATTCTGCGAGTGAACATAGAACATACCCCCACAGCAGCATCCCATACAAAGCGAAATCCCACTGGGTTATTCATCCTGTCACCCGTACCAAGACGCTGATGGGTCTTAACTGTCTCAAGTGAACAGACTGTAAAACAGGATATTAACGTCTTACAACCCTCCAGTTACGTTGTCTCGCAGGCTCCAAGGGGTGAGCGGACTGACTACAGGTACACATGAACCTGTAACAGGTCTATGGGAAAATGAATATAAGGTTCCACTGAATGAGGCAGGGATATGGGAGTCCAACTTACTTATCCTTTAGGTCGGGTCTGATCTGAAACGTGGCATTTTGGTCAGCAACTGCTGCACCCGCCATCATGTTGTTTTGAAGTCTGAGATTGTTGTGATGCACCAGCAGGGTTGCCAGGTCCAAAGTGCTGGAAGTAGCGAGCTGACGGCCTAAAAGTAGCGAATTTGTAATAAGAGTAGCCCAATTTTTTGTTTAGTGACTGATACGGGTTTTAAAGTAATATATTTTAATATATAGAGTACACTATACACGATGTTAATTGTTTTATTAATATTATTTCTGCACAAATACACATACACACACATATATAATATATTTACACACACACACACACGTTATGGAATGTGGAATAGGAGAACATAGACCCCATACAACCTATACTGTATATTATGTGAGAAATCTTTAAAGAATTCTGATAAAGAAAGAGATCTAGGGGTGGTTCTAGATAGAAAACTATCACCTGAGGACCACATTAAGAATATTGTGCAAGGAGCCTATGCTATGCTTTCTAACTTCAGAATTGCATTTAATTACATGGATGGCGATATACTAAAGAAATTGTTCATGACTTTTGTTAGGCCAAAGCTAGAATATGCAGCTGTTGTGTGGTGCCCATATCTTAAGAAGCACATCAACAAACTGGAAAAGGTGCAAAGACATGCTACTAAGTGGCTCCCAGAACTGAAGGGTAAAAGCTACGAGGAGAGGTTAGAAGCATTAAACATGCCAAAACTAGAAGACAGAAGAAAAAGAGGTGATATGATCACTACATACAAAATAGTAACAGGAATTGATAAAATCGACAGGGAAGATTTCCTGAGACCTGGCACTTCAAGAACAAGAGGTCATAGATTTAAACTAGCTAAACACAGATGCCAAAGAAATATAAGAAAATTCACCTTCGCAAATAGAGTGGTAGACGGTTGGAACAAGTTAAGTGAGAAGGTGGTGGAGGCCAAGACCGTCAGTAGTTTCAAAGCGTTATATGACAAAGAGTGCTGGGAAGACGGGACACCACGAGCGTAGCTCTCATCCTGTAACTACACTTAGGTAATTACACTTAGGTAATTACACACATACACAAATTATGAGGAGGATTGAAACAGAGGATGATAGTAGGAGGCTATAAGATGACCTAGATAGACTGAGTGAATGGTCCAACAAATGGCTGTTGAAGTTCAACCCGAGTAAATGCAAAGTAATGAAACTAGGCAGTGGAAACAGGAGGCCAGACACAGGATACAGAATAGGAGATGAAGTACTTAATGAAACAGACAGAGAGAAAGATCTAGGAGTTGATATCACACCAAACCTGTCTCCTGAAGCCCACATAAAGAGAATAACGTCTGCGGCATATGCGAGGCTGGCTAACATCAGAACAGCGTTCAGGAACCTGTGTAAGGAATCATTCAGAATCTTGTACACCACATATGTAAGACCAATCCTGGAGTATGCGGCCCCAGCATGGAGCCCGTACCTTGTCAAGCACAAGACAAAGCTGAAAAAAGTCCAAAGGTATGCTACTAGACTAGTCCCAGAACTAAGAGGCATGAGTTATGAGGAAAGGCTGCGGGAAATGCACCTTACGACACTGGAAGACAGACGAGTAAGGGGGGACATGATCACAACCTACAAAATCCTCAGGGGAATCGACCGGGTAAACAAGGATGAACTATTCAACACTGGAGGGACGCGAACAAGGGGACACAGGTGGAAGCTGAGTACCCAAATGAGCCACAGAGACGTTAGAAAGAACTTTTTCAGTGTCAGAGTAGTTAGTAAATGGAATGCACTAGGAAGTGATGTGGTGGAGGCTGACTCCATACACAGTTTCAAATGTAGATATGATAGAGCCCAGTAGGCTCAGGAATCTGTACACCAGTTGATTGACGGTTGAGAGGCGGGACCAAAGAGCCAAAGCTCAACCCCCGCAAGCACAATTAGGTGAGTACATACACATACACACACACATACACATACACACACACATACACATACACATATATATATATATATATATATATATATATATATATATATATATATATATATATATATATATATATATATATATATATATATATATATATATATATATATATATATATATATATATATATATATATATATATATATATATATATGACCGAAAAAGTAAGATTAATAATTCTAACACGAATTTTCTCAATCTTTCGTACATTTCTTTTCACTGTTGGAGGTAATTCAAAAATCAATTCTCCAAAATTCATTTTTATTTCTAGTCTGACGCGACACTTGAGCGCGTTTCGTAAAACTTATTACATTTTCAAAGACTTTACACATACACAACTGAATAGAACTTACATGATTGATTGATAAAGATTAAGCCACCCAAAAGGTGGCACGGGCATGAATAGCCCGTAAGTGGTGGCCCTTTTGAGCCATTACCAGTATCAAGAGCTGATACTGGAGATCTGTGGAGGTGCGACTGCACCCTGCGTGACGGGAGATGTCTCCCGTCGAGAGAGAGAGAACTTACATATCTCCGATTTGTTTATATCTACATTTGAGTGAGGTGGATGGGGTGAGGTGGTATTTAATAGGGTATTAATTTCATCAACACAAGACAGAACACGAAACAATGGGTATTGAAATGGAAGTGATTGTAGAAAGCCTATTGGTCCATATTTCTTGATGCTTCTATATTGGAGCGGAGTCTTGAGGTGGGTAGAATATAGTTGTGCATTAATTGGCTGTTGATTGCTGGTGTTGACTTCTTAATGTGCAGTGCTTCGCAAACGTCAAGCCGTCTGCTATCGCTGTATCTATCGATGATTTCTGTGTTGTGTACTAGGATTTCTCTGGCGATGGTTTGGTTGTGGGAAGAGATTATATGTTCCTTAATGGAGCCCTGTTGCTTATGCATCGTTAAACGCCTAGAAAGAGATGTTGTTGTCTTGCTTATATACTGTTTTTTTTGGAGTTTACAGTCCCCAAGTGGGCATTTGAAGGCATAGACGACGTTGGTCTCTTTTAAAGCGTTCTGCTTTGTGTCTGGAGAGTTTCTCATGAGTAGGCTGGCCGTTTTTCTGGTTTTATAGTAAATCGTCAGTTGTATCCTCTGATTTTTGTCTGTAGGGATAACGTTTCTATTAACAATATCTTTCAGGACCCTTTCCTCCGTTTTATGAGCTGTGGAAAAGAAGTTCCTGTAAAATAGTTTAATAGGGGGTATAGGTGTTGTGTTAGTTGTCTCTTCAGAGGTTGCATGGCGTTTCACTTTCCTTCTTATGATGTCTTCGACGAAACCATTGGAGAAGCCGTTGTTGACTAGGACCTGCCTTACCCTACAGAGTTCTTCGTCGACGTGCTTCCATTCTGAGCTGTGGCTGAGAGCACGGTCGACATATGCGTTAACAACACTCCTCTTGTACCTGTCTGGGCAGTCGCTGTTGGCATTTAGGCACATTCCTATGTTCGTTTCCTTAGTGTAGACTGCAGTGTGGAAACCTCCGCTCTTTTCCATGACTGTTACATCTAGAAAGGGCAGCTTCCCATCCTTTTCCATCTCGTAAGTGAAACGCAGCACGGAACTCTGCTCAAATGCCTCCTTCAGCTCCTGCAGATGTCTGACATCAGGTACCTGTGTAAAAATGTCGACAACATACCTGCAGTATATGGCCGGTTTCAAGTTCATGTCGACTAAGACTTTTTGCTCGATGGTACCCATGTAGAAGTTTGCAAACAGGACACCTAGGGGAGAACCCATGGCGACCCCATCTACTTGCTTATACATGTGCCCATCCGGGCTCAAGAAGGGTGCCTCTTTAGTACAAGCTTGGAGTAGTTTCCTCAGAATATTTTCTGGTATGTCACTTGGGGACTGTAAGCTCCAAAAAACCCAGTATATAGGCAAGACAACAACATCTCTTTCTAGGCGTTTAACGATGCATAAGCAACAGGGCTCCATTAAGGAACATATAATCTCTTATAAATAAGTGTCATACATGCACTCTATAGTAAATCACTTCTTTTCTTCACCTTAAAAGTGCGAAAATGAGTTTTGGAGAACTCCTATTTCAATTAAGCCCTGATGCTAAGAAAATAGTTAGAGGGATAGAAGCCCTAAACCAGAATATAATAAATACAGAATATGCGGTCATATTCAATGAAATATATATATATATATATATATATATATATATATATATATATATATATATATATATATATATATATATATATATATATATATATATATATATATATATATATATATATATATATATATATATATATATATATATATATATATATATATATATATATATATATATATATATATATATATATATATATATATATATATATATATATATATATATATATATATATATATATATATATATATATATATATATATATGTTTTAAATTAGCCCAAAAAGTAGTTTTCCTGAACCGATTATGTGTCTGTAATCCTTTACACCACCGCCCACGGGATGGGTATGGGGTGCATAATAAAGAAAGAAAGAAAGCGAAATTAAAAATTTGGGAGCGCGGGCCTCTCAAAAGTAGCCCAATTCGCTACTTGTAGCCCAATCTGGCAACCCTGTGCGCCAGGGAGGATCAGGAAGCGTCAAGGAGGATCAGGGAGGCCGAAGCGGCGCCGGAAGGAGGCTCTAATACTACATCTTTCTCTTGATTCTCCCCACACGCTCCCCAGGTTACCATGGTAACCTCGCATCTGCTCGATACTATTAACTTTTGATCCTGTCAAATAATATACAGTATTTTTATATCCTTTATATATACATATATATGTTTTGTACTTCTTAGAACGAAACACTACTTCTTTTAAAAAAGCAACTAAAGCAATCCTTTGTGGTAATTTATTATTAAATGTAGTTTGGTCGGTTACAGTACGGTTAGAGTAATAAATATATGTATATTTCCATATTGTTTAGTTTAAGTGTACCTTTCTTCTGGAGATCATTGAAACTAGGAATACCATTATACATAATGTATTTGTATATCGTGTCGTCGGTAAAAGAAGGTATAGCATGAAGGAGTAGAAACAGTGTGTGCAGAGGTGCGTGGAGGACCATCCAGGTTGAAGCGGACTGTATCACATCATCGTTCAGATCACGCCTATTGTATTTCTTGCTTGTGGGTACACCAAACTGACCAGAAATGGGAAGTATAGACAGAGAAAATCTGTATCAAGCACAGGTAGGTCAACCAGTGGTGTCCCGCTCGATGTATGTTATAATGGTATGGCGAACATACAGTGGGTGATCGTACTAACCTTATTCTGGCTTCCCTGATCCCGTCTTGTGTGTGTTGGAGAGATTACTCGCATTTTTTATAATGGGTTGGGGCACTACACGTAATGTTTCTTACGGTAAGAAGTTTACATTTGGAGTGTAGAACACAAGCAGAACTGTAATGAGGGTTGACAGTGAAGAAGCAACCTCAGTGATGCTGGGGGAGGCTGTTGCTTGCTCCTCTCCAATACTTGCTCTCACCTTCCTTTTCACACTCATAACAACATAAGAATAAAAGAAACTTAACAAGGCCTAGTGAGGATAGGAGGATCAATAGGCCTTGTCTGCACACACACGTGCAGATGATGAGTCATAATTCCTGCCCGAAACGCTGTGTGTAATAGTGGCTTTAGGCATTGTATGTTCTAGCTCTATCTATAAATCCATCAACTTTTTGTATCTCACCTTGTATGTATGTACTTTACCTGAGTAAATATTTGTATTTGTATTTGTGACTGAAGATATGAAGACTAAACCACACACCAGAAGATGAGGAGGCGAGAACATTTCAGTCCGTCAGGGAATATTATCAAATCAATTATCACAATCGTTTTGATAATGGTCCAGGACAGACCAAAATGTCATCATTTCATCTTCTGGTGTGTCGTTTAGTCTATATATATATATATATATACATGTTAGGCTTATATTGAGATCGTTCCCCCCCCCAGGTCGAATTACTAACCCTTCCTAGGATACAACCCCCACAACATGCTGTTTAATTCCTGGGTACCTACTTACTGCTAGATGAATAGGGGGAAGTAGGTGATAGGAAATGCACCTAACCATTCTGTACCGCCCAGAATTGGAACCTGGAATTCTCAATTGTGAGTCGAGAACGAACCCGACTGTACTACTGGGACCCTATAGATGTTGTGGGTCTCAAGTAATTTTAGATAAACTCACATATGCCTTTTTTTCCAGGATATAGAGGGAAGCAGCAGTGCAGTTACAACTCCGGGTGATGTCGTGAACATCACCTCTATACAGCTGGACACCCCAACCAGTTCCCAACCACCACCCTCACCACGCACTGTAATTGTCACTACAGTATCTACACTGTTTTTCACATCACCTCAATGGTTTATAATTAATTTTTGAAAACTTTGTCTCTCCATCGTACAATACAATACTGTATCTGTTTTCAGATTATTGTAGAACATTTATCTAGTGTGCTTTTCTTTCGGCTTCCTGGCGCTATCGGGCTAATATGCAAATCATTAGACCGGGGCATTCTATGGAGTTCTGCCTATCGAGGATCACTCGCCAGAACATGGCCCCCTCAGAGAGGTGCAGGGAGCATTAGCCCTGGAAAACTCCCTGTGGTTGGGGTTAACCTTATCTGCCATTGATCAGGGATAGGTAAGGGATATGATATCTACCCCAGAAAGGTAGGCATAACAAAATAGACCCTACATAGTAAGAAAATTACAAGCAAAAGTCGAACAGAGAGGTAGAACACTCTCCAATCCCAAGGAAACAAGCAAAGGGGCCTAACAGCTGAGTGGGCAGCGCTCGGTATTCGTAGTCCTGAGGTTTCGGGTTTGATCCCTGGTGGAGGCAGAAACAAATTGGCAGAGTTTCTTTCATCCTGATGCCCTTGTCCACCTAGCAGTAAATAGGTACCTGGGAGTTAGACAGCTGCTACGGGCTGCTTCCTGGTGGTGTGTAACAAAAAAGGAGACTTGTTCGAGGACTGGGCCGCAGGGATGCTAAGCCCCGAAATCATCTTAACATAACCTCAAGATAACCACACTTTATCACCGCATCGCTCGTCCACGCAGCCCTTCCCCCTCTGCACCAGTGACCCAGCCACTCCAGTTTTTCAGCTAATGCATCTTCCAAGTTCCAGCTCGTCTCGTGGTGGTTTGAAAGTTGCTGTGTTCCCTTGTCTCAGGGTAACAGTCACCACTTTTGCCTCCATCATGCTGCCTGTTGGGTCAACGACACCTTTGATCCGCAGTCTTGCGAGTTGTGTTCTCTGCTTGTTCTCCAGTACTATTCTGATGACATTACTGTTAGGGTACATCCAGCATCCGTGTTGCATGCTAGATTTAGGTTGCTGCAACACGCTAGGTTGGTTTCCCACCTGGATGCCCCGCGGCTGCCCTACTTTGGTTATAGAGACCCGAACCTAGGTGCATTAGTCACTTTGACTTTGATTCATTCTGCGCCCCCTGGTCTTTTCCCTGTTGTTCATCCTGCACCTCCACCCCTGCTTCCCGCATCCCAAACGTCTGAGGGTTACGAAGTCGGGGCAGGGTTTAGTTGGTAATGAGACTCGGGCAGCTTTGGGGCCTGCCCCATTCTGGTTGGGGACGGAGGCATTTGAGCCGGTTCCTCCTTCCGAGGCTTCTGGGTCCCACCAGGCTTTCCCCTAGACTCTGCCTTTCTGGGTCTCCCTTCTTTTCAACCTTTCCCCTAGACTCTGCCTTTTCTTCAGGGGTGTAGGGTTTGGAGGCCGGTTCTGCCCTGGGTCCCTAATTGGAGGATCCTGGGGAGGAGTTGACCTAGGGGATTTGGGTCCCCTTTGACCCCGCTATGGTGTTGTGGCCTCTTCACCGGACTTGTTGTTGCAGGGGGAGGGGTTTTCTTACCTCCCCTTCCCTGTATGAGTATGATTTGCGGTCTACCCCTCCCCGGGTTCGGTTCCGGGTTCTCTTGGGTTTCTCAGTTCCTTCATTCCGGAGGTTTTCTTCCTCTCAAATCTCACCTAAGGAGGTTCGGGAGGCTCTTGCTGCTTACTTCCTGCGAGACCCAGATTCTGCCTCTGTCATGGATCCATCCTTGTTTGAGTTCGTTTTTTCTTCCCCCTGTATTGGGTGCATTTGAATGTTCCGGAGTCTTCCTGGCTGACAGACTGGCATTCTTTTCATTGGGAGTGGCATGGGTTCTGTCATACCCCACACACTTGAGTGGCGAGAAACTTCTACCATTCTACAGGTTTCCTAGTGGGTAAGTTTGAGCATGTTAATGTGTGCTTGTTCGCCCACGTGCTTTTTCGGGATGTTAGTCTTGTACAGCTGTACATGCAGGTTCCTACTCTTTTGGCATCCTTGGCTGCTGAGGATTTGCGCTCCCGTGGGCATTTGGCTTCGGTCTTGTGCTTCTTTTCCCTTTTCGAGCTGTCTTTGACATGGCTTGAGGAGGATGTGGAGGCATTGTGTGCCGGGCCTTCGTTGGGTGTGCTAGCCTTTGCGGTTTGGGCGTAGGCCGCGCTATTGAAGCTGTTTGTGCCTATCCTGAAGGAGGCGGTGTCTGTTCTCTGCTTCTTGTCTTGCATACCGTCTGGCTGTGCTCTCTTTGGAATCTGCTTGGGGCTCTGGCTCTTAGGTTTTCATTGCCATTTTGTCCGTTGCTGTTTATGGAGGCTGCTCTCTTGCAGGTTCTGCAGGCGGCTTCGTCTAGTTGTTGTCCTATGTTGGACTTGTTGGTTCTCCGGGGTGGCCATTCTTGGCCTTCTCGGAGGGTCATGCCAAGGCTCGGGGTTCTGCTGGTTGGGGTGGGTCATTGGTGCCAGTTTCTGAGCCTGCGCTTCCTTCGGAGCTGGCGTCGTCTGGTCAGCGCGATGATCACTTTGTTTGTAGGTCTGCTTCTCGTAAGGGGCATCAGCCTCTGTTTGCTTACGCTTGGGCCTACGATTCGTGAGCATTTCAGGTTGTTTCATTCGGCCTCTGGTGGAATTGGGTTGCTCCTTCTCCTTCAGGGGGTTTGGGGCTGGGGGGGCAGGCTTCTTTCCCTGCCCTTCATTGGGCCATCTTGGAGTGGGTGTTTCTAGGTTGTTTGCAGGGTTATTATGTCTAGCCAGCCTGAGGTCTATCCTCGTACCCATGACGTTCGCAAGTTTGCTGCTTTAGCTGCTGTGTTTGGCAACATGTCTTGAGCTGATATTTGGGTACGGAGATTTTGGAGGTCGAACAGGATCCTGGCCACCCATTATTTGTTTAACGTTCTTGGGTTTGGGCTTTCTTGTGTTGCTTTGGGTCGCAAGTTGCAGCCCGTTGTCTTGACTTCGCATTGAGGAGTGTGTGGCATCTGCCTCCTGGGTAAGTCCCTCTTTTCCTTATCTTTGGTTGTGTAGCTCCAGGGAGCCGAAGGGGTTCCCCACAGAAAACCAGCATTGAATGTAATGAAACGCCATTTTCTGGGTGAGCCCTGGGGGCTTCCTGGGAACCCTCCATCCCTCCGGTCAGTGGTTTTCACATGGTTGATACAGTACTTAGTCTCCGAACTGGAGTGGTTGGGTTGCCGGCATGGGGGTCCGGGGCTCCCCCTCCCTCTTCCAGGGGGGGACTGCGAGGTTGAGCGATGTAGCGATGGAGTATAACGTTTTCTTGTTTGCTTGTTTCCTTGGGATTGGAGGGAGTTTTACCTCTGTTCAGCTTTTGGTTGTAATTTTCTTGCCGTGTGGGGGTATCTTTTTGTTGTGCCTACTTTTTTGGGTTCCTAACCCCGGTCGATGGCAGATAAGGTTAACCCCCCAACCACAGGGAGGGGGGTCCAGGGCCATTGCTCCATGTACCTCTCTTAGGAGGCCATGTTCTGGCTAGTGGTCCCTGGTAGGCAGAACTCCATAGACTAATGCCCCAGTCTAATGATTTGCATATTAGCCTGATAGCTCCAGGGAGCCTCCGGGGCTCACCCAGAAAATGGCGTTTCATTACATTCAATGCTGGTTTTTTGTTTGTTAACATGGATTTAAGAATACTGTACTTACAGTATTTTTAACTTTAGATTAAATTTTATGTGCCTATACTGTATTATGGCCTAGTGCCAGTTGGTATTAATAGATCTTAAAGTCCGAAAATCAAACAAGAGATTCAACAACTTTCACAAAAAATTATTACTGTACTGTACCTCTCTTTTACACACTTGTTGAATGTATTAAGTTAGTTTGTGCATATTTCAGGTTGTATTTTGACTTGAAATAACTTATTTATATAGAAATTTCCCCTCTTGATATCTAACTGTTGTAAACTTAAATTAGCGGTGTGTAGTGAATGCCAACTCCATAATAATATATTATATAAGAATTGTTTGAAGTGACCATTGCATAAGGTGTTTTCTTATGATTGGAATTTTACAATTGTTTTTTCATTATGAGGAATCATGAAATATAACTGACCAAATAAGATACAGTATACTGAAATGCATTTGGTCATTACTGCATTGCTTTATAATGTATTATTGTACATTGCATGAGTCGTACTTACAACTACAACATGTGACTTATTACTGTAGTTGTAATATTTTTAATTTATTATGCCATACATCGGCAGATAACAACAACAGTCAGCACCCCGCCTTTTGATGAGCCGCTGGGACCGCCACCAGCCTACACATTTAACCCCCCACGAATGAGTACTTTAGAACCTATCCCTGGTCCACCTCCCTCATACGATGAATGCCACAGCCTCAACGGTATGATATTGTGATGCATATTCTTTAACCTGTATAATGAATGCTAATTTATTCTTCATTCACTTTTAGTGCCTTATCTTTCCATTCTAATAGGTAAGTCTAGACATCTAAAACCATTACTGTTTGTATTGTGAGCCAAGTTAACTGTTGAACGAGTACAGTATCTCACTTGTTACATTGGTTTTCTAATTAAAAGTGTGGTGCCGTGTGTATCGTTTCCTGCAATTATTCAGAATCATAGTTTAATTATTATATTAATTTTTTTTCTAATTTTCAGTTCCTCCCCCTACATATGATTCCTTGTTTGGGCGAGTGCGGGAAGTTCATAAAACTTCCAATGGTGCTGTCGATTTTCTGAAAAATCTGATAGTCCTTTTTGTTGGAACAAGTAAGTACTGTATACTTTTGTTTTCCAGTGTAATATAATAGTTATGGCAGCCATCAGTAATTTGCTGAATACAAATATATATCTGTGCTGTATATACTAGTACATACTGTAATTTGAAATGTCATAAGCCACTTCAAAGATTTCTTTACTTGGTGAGACAAAATCAGTTTTCCAACATGAGAGTACAGTACCTCAGTATATGTAGGAATATTGTACATCAGGCATGTCAAATTGAGGGTTCCCCTGAGGGCCATATGGATCACATTTGTGTTGTCATGAGGACCACACACGACGCCTAACTGAAGTCGTATAATAACAATTATTGCAGAATATCTTTATTACTTAAACTTAGAAACATACAATGTGCATAAAAATGGTTTAGCAGCTAGCCACATACATGACTGTAAAGTAATGAGTAGTTTAACAAAAGAAAAAAAAATTTAAACAACAAAATAGATTTCTATGCAACAGCAACAAACACATTGAACAAAAACTAAACAGTTCAAAATGAACATTTATTTATGACTATTCAGTCATTTTTAGTGTTTTGTACTAAGGTTTGACACCTCTTTCTGAGGGGACCCCCTTCAGCTCCCCAGAGCTATACAGGCTGATATGTATAGCATTAGACTTTGGCATCAGTGTGAATGGAGTTCTAGGGCTACCAGAGACCACGAGCCAGAACCTGGCCCCCTTCAGAGAGGCATGAGGAGCAATGGCCTATAGAAATGTACATGGGATTTGGAGCATTCTATGTCTGCCATCAACTGGGCCGGGCAACCAGAAAGGTAGGCACCCCAAAACAAGCCGCTATTCTGGTTAAAATAACTATAATAGCCAAACGAGTGGACAGAACTCCCCAAATGAAAATGAGCAAACAAGCATGATGTCACACTTGCCGTGCCACTTGTCTGCGCAGCTTCCTCCTCCCGGGGATGGGAGGTGGGGGGGGGGGGTAGAGCCCCAGACACATCGCGCCGGCTATTCACCTGTCAGTTCTCAGCTGTTGTGGCTCGGTTGTGTGGCTCCAACTCTAGATTCTCTTTTGTTGTGCTGTACCTTGTGTCCAGTACTACTCTTATGGTGATGAGCGAGCTGGGAGTAGTATTCACAGGTACTCAGGCTGCATGTGCTTAGGGTTCCCTTTCCTGAGTGCCATGTAAGTACCGCCATTGGGGCTTGGGGTTATCTTCCACAAGTCACTTTGGGGTCCACCTCTGTTGGTCTTTAGCTGCTCGGTGATTGAACGCCCTGGAAGTGTTGGGTTTCCTCCTCCATTGTTACCATGGGGTAAGGGGTACTGCACAGCTAGTTTTCACCTATTACAGCTGACGACTCTGTTCCTCCTGGGTACATTGTCCTCTTGCGGGGTTTTTCTTTTCAATTTTGTTTGTGCCTGATGAGGGGGTCTGCTTTTCTTTCCCTGCCCTCCTGTGTTCGGTGGTACTTTTAGGTATTCGGGTGTTGGCCTACCTCGACGACTGGCTGGTGTGGGCTCCCAGTCAGTCCTCGTGTCTGCTCGCCAGGGATTTGGTTCTTTCCGAGCTTGGGTTCCTGGTGACCTGGAGAAAGTCCCATCTGGTCCCCTCCCAGGTTTGGACTTGTGTGGGACTCTCGGACCGCTTCCTTGTCTTCCTCCGGCGCAGGGGTTTCTGCTCTTTCAGTTCTGGTGGTAGGTGTGTTCGTTTGCAGCCGTCTCCATCTTTTCTGCTGAAGAACAAGACAGTGGCTTTCTGGAGGGGTCCTTGGGTTGTTGATGCTTGGTTGGTTCGGCCTGGGGGTGCATCACGTGTTGTATCCGGTTGTGGCTCTTCGCCGTTATTTGCGTGCCACGGCCTCAGTGGCCAGGGGCGAGCCTTGGGTTGATCCGGGTTTTCGTTATTCCCTGTTTCAGGGCCAGGTTTTCCAAGTCATCCGCAGGATTATTCGGTCCAGCGAGCCTGTGGTCTATCCCCGTGCCCATGTCGTTCGCAAATTTGCTGCTTTAGCTGCCGTTTTTGGTAATGTCTTGGGCTGACGAATAGGCGCAGGGATTTTGGAGGTCGAACAGGTCCTTGCTGCCTGTTACCTTGTTAATGTTCCTTGCCCTAGTCGGGCATGTTGTCTCAAGTTCGAGTTGAGGTAAGAGTGGCGGCCGCCTTCTGGGTCAGTCCCTTTTTTACTTTTATGTTGTTAGGTAGCTCCGGGGAGCCGGAGGGGGCTCTCCACAGAAAACCAGCGTTGAATGTAATGAAACACCATTTTCTGGGTGATTTCTTGGAGGCTCCCTGGCAACCCTCCCTTCCTCCAATTGGCAGTAGTCACCTTTTTCTATATTCAACCTCTGATCTGGGGTTGGATGGCTGGCACAGGGGGTCTGGGGCTCCCCCTTCCCACTCCCTGGGAGGGGAAAGCTGCGCAGACAGCGGTGCAGAGATGGTTGTGACGTCATGCTTGTTTGCTTGTTTTCAGATTAGGAAGTTCTGCTTGATAGTTTGGTTTTCGGTAGCAATTTCTAACCAGGTGGAGTTTGTTTTGAGATGCCTACCTTTCTGGGGGCCTAACCCAGTCAGTGGCCGACATGGGATGCTTCCAACCACATGGGGAGTTTCTATAGGTCATTGCTCCTCATGCCTCTCTGAGAAGGCCAGGTTCTGGCTCGTGGTCCCCAGTAGGCAGGTTCCCCAATCGAATTGACTGATGCCACGGTCTGATACATACATATCAGACTCACCCAGAAAATGGCGTGTCATTACATTCAACGCTGGTTTTATATCAGTGTTTCCTCGAGGAAGGTGTCCTCCTCATTGAGTGTTGTGTGGCCATGTTCTTGGGAGAGCAAGATGTTGTCCAAGAAAGCAATTGAGTGGCATGCTCAGGAGATTCCATCTACATTCAATGCATTTTATATTTTTTCAGTTGGTTGTACAGTGATGATCAGCATAACCATAGTGATTCCTATATTCATGATCATCGTTGGGGCCCTCAAGATGGATGAGTGCCCTGCTGAACCATACATTCCCATATATCTTGTTATTGGAGGTAAGAACTTTTAGTTCTGCATGTACTGTACCTGTCCTTTATCTAAATAGTAGTTTTGTGTTCATCTTGTTATTCTGTGAGTGCAGGGCTATACGTAAAGTATTCTGAACTTGCGGTGCATCTTCCTTTGGCACCCCCTTTCCCCTATCCTCATAAATAATTCTAAAATTTAAACAAAAAAGTATATTACAGTAGTATGTCATAAATTGGAAATAAGAAAAATGTTGGATATTAAAAATTTAGTGACTATTGCATTATATTGTATAACAAAAATACAATTAATTCCAGTCAAAATGCTCAGCCTATGTTTCAATGTAAGTAGATAGAATTCACAGTCTGCTTTTCTAGGAGAAGCCCCGTCGGCTTCCCGGAGCTATCCAGGTTAATATGTATCTATTAGTTTTCTGACATCAAAGTGCATGGAGTTCTTGCCTATTGGGGACCACGAGCTATAGAAACCCCCGTGTGGTTGGGAGCATTTTATGTCTGCCATTGACCGGGTCTGGCACCCAGAAAGGTAGGCGCCCCAAAACAAACCCCTATTGTGGTGAAAATATTGCTACCGAAAGCTGGACGAGTGGACAGAACTCCCCAAACGAAAAGTTAGCAAATGAGCATGAATTCATCACATAGCCACGCCGCTGTTTGTGCAATATCCCCCCTCCCCGAGAGGGGAAAAGGGAAGCCCCAGACCCTCACACTGGTGATCCACCCGTCAGTTCTTAGGCTGGATGTCAAAACATGCAAAAACACCAGCCTTTGCATTCCCACCTTCGTCTGTTCCTGAGGGGCTCTCGGGTCACGTGGCGGCTGCTTGAGGGTTTGTGCGGGAGCCTGAACTTTGCCATGATGTTCTACCTTTCGGGTTGGGTGTGGCTTCGTCGGCTGTTTTGTTTCCTTCGGGGGCGTCCTTTCCGCCTCTCTTGCGGAAAGGATGCGAGAGAGGTGTATCAGCCCAGTAAGCTCCAGGGAGCCTCCGGGACTCGCCCACAAAATGGCGTTTCATTGCATTCAACGCTGTTTTTTTTATTATAAGTGATTGTTTTGTTGGAATAGAGTACATGTTTAATAAAGACCTTTGTAATACTGTAATATGCACTATGAATCACTATAAATGAAAAAATTTAAAATGTAAAAAAATCTAACCCATATTTCTTACACAAGACGTATTTTGAAAAATTTGTCATGGACAAATTACACTGCATGCTGGCCCAATAGCAATATTGTTATCTTGATTTTGGAAATTTTTAATTTGTGGTATAAAACTTTTACAGTACCATTATTTCAATTCCTGATTGCACCCTTTTCTTACATCTCCTTAATATTCCAATATGTGAATGAAGACAGATTGGCTTATGTTTTTTAAGTTTCTGAGCAAGGTCCGCCCCTCAGATGATATTCTGAGCCACTTAAAATGTAGATCATTCTTAGTGGATCCACTTAGGCCACTACTAGCATGTCAGGCCCTGTGCTACTGTGAATTCCACTGAGACATACAACTTTTGAAATAAACTTTTCCTATAGTCTAGAGGCAGGGAGAAACGGCAGGTGTTTATAGGTGTGTATTTAATTACAGTATAAGAAAGTATGACCCTCTGAAAACTGATCACTAAAGGAAAAGGCACTATGCTATCCAAGTGGTAGTGCATCCTTGAGCAGAAAACTTTAAGAGGTACTTAGTACCTCTTAAAGTTTTTTTCATATTTTAAACAGAGGCACATTATCTTCTTTTGGTTGAGAAGTTATGCAGCTTATGGGTACACTCATGTGGGACACAACAATGCCAGTAAGTCAGTCTTGCCTGCAGTGGGGACAGGGGAGCAATATGACATACAGGTACTATACACACATACGGGACACGATGGTAAGTCAATCTTGCTTATGATAAGGAGTTATGCACCTATGGATACACATGGGACAATATTACAAGTCAACATTGAATACTAAACATTAAAATAAGATTTTATAACATGACTGTGAAAGGACAGGGTCTCCTTTTTAAATTGTTTTTGTGTCTGCTGGTTTTGTTAGCAAATACATTTATATTAAATGTATTCTGATTATTTTACTAGGTAGTAAAAATATCTTGACTACCCAACACAATGAGTTAAAATTCTAAATAATTAGTATTGATTCACAACTGCATTTTGATATTCTTAGGTACATTTGGTGTACTGAAGAACTTGCTGGGTTTCCAAGGACGGTTACGTCGCCCTCTAGCAGAAGAGGAAGGGACAGAAGAAGGAGGAGAATCATCAGATGCTTCTACTCCATGGCATCGCAGGCTTAAGTTTGCTGGCTCCATAAACTTCTTCCTGTCAGTTTGGTTCATTTTGGGTTAGTTTACCTTTGCATGTTACATGCAGGTTTATTTACTTTCATTGTTGTCTTTTCTGGTGGGAGCCCCTTCGGCTCCCCGGAGCTATCCAGGCTGATATGTATATCCCTAACCTTTGGCATCAGTCAGTGTAGACTAAGTTCTAGGCCTACCAGGGACCACGAGCCAGAACCTGGCACCCTCAGAGAAGCACGAGGAGCAATGGCCTTTAGAAATGCACATGTGATTTGGAGCATTTTATATCTGCCATCGACCGGGACAAGCACCCAGAAAGGTAAGCGCTTCAAAACAAACCCCTATTCTGGTTAAAACAACGAAAATAGCCAAATGAGTGGACAGAGCTCCCCAAATGAAAACGAACAATCAAGCATGACGTCACATGAGTCTCGCCGCCTGTCTGTGCAGCTTCCCACTTTCCATGAGGGGGAAGGGGGAGCTCCAGACCCATCGCACCTGCAATCCAACCATTAGTTCTTAGGCTGATGTGATTGTGGCACGGTCGGGTGGCTCCAGCTCTGAATTCTATTGCTGTGTTATGCTTGGTGTTCAGTACTGCTTTTAAAATGGTGTGCGAGCTGGGAGTAATATTCACAGGTACTCGGGCTGCATGTGCTTAAAGTTACCTTCCCTGAGTGCCCTGTAAGTTCCGCCCTTGGGGCTTGGGGTTGTTTTCCACAAGTCATTTTGGGGTCTACCTCTGGTCTTTTGCTGCTTGGTAATTGAATCCCTATCTAACAAAATACAAGACAAAACATAAGGAAGGTTTAGTGCTGTGCCACAAGACTATTCCCAGAACTGAGAGGATAGGAGTATAAGAGAAAACTGAGGAAATTGGATTTAACTACATTGAATACGAGACTGAAGAGAAGACACTATTGTGACATAAGATCCTGAGGAATATTGACAAAGTAAATAGTTAAAATGTTTAGCAGGTGCAACAGGAGAGGAGGCCTTAAATGGAAGCTAGAGATGCAGATAGCAATGTAAGGAAAGATTTCTTCAGCCTAAGGAGTCAGTAAATGAATGAGAAGTACAGTAATATATTTTTGTTTGTAACTGTTCAAGGTTGTCCATAATCAGAAGTTTTAACTTATACAATATTTTGACTGGCTTCTATTATATTAGTTATTGTGACAAGTTAGTATAATATGCATTATTATTATTATATTATTATTATTATATTCATTATTATATATTATTATATACATTATTATATATTTTAATCTTGTTCAATTACTTTCCCTGATATTTCAGGTTGTGTGTGGGTATACCGTATTTATGAACCCAGTTACTCGCCAAAAGATCATAATTACTGTGACTACAGTCTGTACCAGTTTGCATTCTGGCTGGTTACCTCGGTCTATATTGCTGTCGGTCTGCTGACTTCCTGCATGTGCTGCCTGTCTGCAGCTACAGTTGTCATGAAGCACAATTGCATGACTGAGGCACAGGTTTGAGCTCTACAGTTGTGTTTCTATGGACGTAAGAGACAAATACGTGGCGAGTGTAATAATTGAGAACGAGTTTTATGCCACCGTTTTTTTATAATTCATGTCGAAAGAATTTTTTTTGTAAATGTGATTAGTAAAACGTTTAGGTACTATTAAATTGAATTAGATTTTTTTCACCTTGCATATACAGTTCATAGATTAGCATCATGTCAGCTAAGGCAGTATAGCTCATATTTCTCAAAGCCTTGTTTTCTATGTATATTATGGTCTTTTGTTATTAATTTACATCTCTTTATTATTAGAGATGTATATCTAGTTATTATGCTGTCCTCTGTTTACCAGCCATTTTTGTAGTGTAGCTTAAGCGCAAAAGTCCATAAAAACCTCATGAATGAATACAAGAATGGTGTGTTCATATCTGAATGTATCTAGTCATTTACTCATGCATTGTACAATTATATATATATATATATTTTATATTGTCTCTTATTTCTTTATTGATAATAGGAATAAGGTTCATTTAGCTTTAATATTTAAAATGGATTCACATCTGGTGACCTACATTTGGCTATCTTGTGCTGGCATTTGCATTTGTAAGTATAATTATTAATTACTTGGTATATCACTCAGCATCTAGCATGTCTACATCTTTCAGTGAAAGATGTAGTTTAGTAATACTACAAAGTATTACAAATGATGTAGTAATACAAACTACATTAGTAGTTTGAGTGGTAATAAATTTACAAGATGTGATCATAACATTCCTTGCATGTTGTATATATTGTGCCAACAATAATGGTTGTAAAAGCATTATGTAGTATCTGAACACGTTATACTCTGATCACCATGCATTCTTTCCTAAAGATCAGACAGTTAACCAAAGTATCTTTTAATATATTTTTTTGAGGCATTATAAAACAGACACATAGGAATCTGAGGTATCTCTTTAACCTTGTGGAACAAACTTGGTTTACCAGTTCCTTATCTTGAATAGTTTCTCCATTGCCAGTGCTACATTGGTAATTGGCCTCGAGTTCACTACACAGCATTGCTGAGCGATGATACAATACCCACCGATGCGACTTATTGTCATCAGCGTTCATTCTGATGCAGTTTCACTTTTGCAGCTCATAGTGTTCGCAGAATATATCTCAGCTGGAAATTTTTGTCACTTTCATAGAGTGAGTATGAATGAAATTAGAAATTTATATTGATTTAAAATATGAGGATGTTGTCAGTTATGTTTGTTGTACCATATCTAAATCTATTCAGCTGGAATGCATCATACTTGTTTTTTCCTTCTTACTGTAATAGCTTAACTAAGTGACCAAGGTATGCCTCTCTTAATTTTGAATATTGTTGGTATCCCATATTTGAAGCATATAGATTCTTCTCCAAATGTTTTCATCATTGTTTATCTAGTCTCAGATTTCCAAACTTGTATTAACTTGTAAATTATGTAATGCAGTTGGTATAAAAGTGAGCAAGGTTTTCCTTGTAAAATTAAAGGAACTAAAGAAGTTAGAAATGTAACCATTTATTTTGGTTAAATGAAATTTTGTAATCTATAGTAAAACTTAGCATATGAGAAAGAAAGATGTTACATTTCCCCGGAAATTTTCTTTGTACATGGAAAAAGAGTCATTTGATCCTCTGGTATTGAAATATCTGGGCATATGTTACAGCATCCTTCTGTTCTTAGTATGATCGTCTTGTGTCGATGCCAGCTAATATATGATCAGTTGGTGATATTCATCTCATGCAGTCAAAATATAGTGTTTATAGAAAGGGACTGAAATACGGGAAGAAAAGACCAGATTGGAAATAAAACTCTGGTCATCTACTCCTTTTGAGTCTCATTTTTCTAATGCATTAGGATGTAGCACATGTGTGAAAGTAAAAGCATGATTATTTTTTTTTTATTTACAAAATCTGCAAACATGAATTTAAATTTACAAAAGATTTTTGTGGCAACATGCCACAAGATTGTTGTCTTCTGCAGTTCTATCGGTTACAACAAAAATTATGTGCAATTTAATTAATTAGCCTTGGGGGGGGGCATAACTAGGTTTCCAAAATACTGTCCTTAAAGGGTTAATGTCAGTCATTACTGTTTGCTATGATTCCAGAACGTTTTTGTTCCTTGACCTTTTTCTATAACTCATTGTTATGTGATATGTTTGCAAATGAGCTGTGCTAAATTTTGTGTGTATATTTTGTAATTTTGTATGATAAAATAAATTTTCTTATACTATGGCATTTGTGATCAAATATTATTAGTAGTCAGGAATTGCTAATATAATAATGTTGTTAATGGACATTTTAGCATTATTGAAGTATTGTTATACCAGATGTAGCATCCTATTGAGTAGGAAGTGTGTTAAGACTGACACATCTTGAGGTTATCTTGAGAAACATCAATTGAATCTCTCTTTTAGACCCTCATGACCTGAGGCCAAGCTATAGAAGTGTATGCGGTATTGTGGTATTATCACAAATTATTCCAGTGCATCTGGTAAATCAGTCAGTATATGTATATTATTCAAATTGCATCTGTGATTTATGTTTCTCTGTTCCTTAAGGCACTCCTGGTTCATCAGAAGAAACATGGGTACACTTTCAGTAGTAATGTAGGCACATATAAAAAGTGAACATAGGACTCTTAACCTTCGAACCACCACAGGATTCCTTCTAAATTGCCATGCTTAAAACATACCATTTCACAGTGCATCAGTTTTTCATTCTTTTTGCAGCTAAAATATTTAATATCCTTAATATATATTGCAGTCAGCAATGAATGTAAAAATATATAAGGAAATTACAAAAGATAGAATAGATAAAATATATATTAAATCAATTTTTCTTCTTGAAAAGTTATAAATACTTACCTAATACTAATTGCCTTAAACATTTACTGAAGGAAGGTAGTGTGCTTCATTCAGCAAATACTGTATAGCACTGTGCATCTTTCTCTGTTTTAATTACATCTGCTCAGATTTGTTTAATTTAAAGATAAATACCTTTATGGTTTTTAAGAACAAATAGAACTGGAAAATACCATTTAAGTGTATATATATATAAAGAGAGTATACATTTCTGGGCCAAAAGTAGACACATGCAAACCATGTTTTAGACAAATAAACACCTTGAATGGTGAAGGTAAGGTAATTATCAGGAGAAAGCACTTGGAAGGGATATGTGAATTAGGATCAAGGATAGGATAAAGAAAAGGAATAGTGCCCAACCACTTGAACGGTCAGGGATTGAACGCCGACCTGCAAGAAGTAAGACTGTCGTTCTATCTTCAGGTCCACTTAGTTGGTCACCATTCCTTTCCTTCATCCAGCACACAGAAATACACAGCTTTATAACACTGGAATATAAATCCTGAAATATAAATATAGATAATATTGCCAGTATTTCACTTCGTTCCATTTTCTCATTCATAGCTTTTATGTTTTTTGTTTAGCATACTTTATGTAGATAGAAAATTGTGCTAACTTATTCTTTCATTATATAAGCGTTTGATATGTTGCTCTTGTTAAAACAGGTTTTATAACTGTACAGTAGAAGTCTGACATTGATCCTAGAAACAAATCCTTCCTCAGTTGTTATTTTCTTGGAAAGAATGACACATGAAGCATTAAATCAGCGCTGTCCTAGAGTTGAGTAAATGGTTTTTCTGGGTAATCTGTATGCAATATGACAAAACATATAACACAGTTTCCATGCATAAAACCCCAGACCAAGATATTTCTCTTTAAAAAAGAGCTTTACTGTTCTTCCATTTACTAAATCATATTGATAGTTGGACTCTGCATTGCCTGCCAACAGAAATGTGACATTCAGTCGAAGCTCTGTATTTGTCAGCGCCTATATTCATCACAGTCGATACTCGTTTTTTTATGACAAAAAATGCTTCTATATTCATCAGCATTTTCCATGTTCGTCACCATCCCTACTGCTTATATTAAGGAAATGCAGAATATGGTCGAAAAGTTGCACCCAAACATTGACATAGTTAATTAAAACAAATGCATTCAGTGATAATGTGATTGGCTACTTCAGGAAAGTTTAAAAAACAGACATACAGACAATAATGGACAAGTTCTTTGCCAAATCGAGTCCTACTGAATCATCGGTAAAGGGAATAAAATTACAACTATCACCAGAAGTGGAGTTAACTGATGTTTCAGTGAAAGATGACTTCCTTTCTAAAGAATAATTCCTTTCCTCCTGTTCATCATCTACTATCATCTCTCCTTAGTTGAGTAAAGGCAAAGTACATATGATCAAAAAAAAATTTTAGATTTCTAAGGTTTCTGATCTGTTAAAATATTATTTACTGATATGCAATAAAAAGACAATTAAGATTTAAAATGAATAAGAAGCTTAAAATTTGTTATCTCTATAATATTTTATATACGGTATAATGAGATTACATGTACCAGCAACTAATCTTAACACACACACTGCATCCATCACTGGAGACTGCAAGCTAACACGGTGTACTGTACTGATAAGTGTCATCCAGTCGGACAGACATAAAGCAATGACAAAGCTTTACTTTTTAATTTATGTACTGTAATTAAAAAGGTACTGTATAATGATGTTTATGCAGGGTTTGAGTGTTTGTATGAGCACAACCTCGGGTGATTGCATAGATTTAATATGTAATTAACTAATATCTGATCTTAGCCCAGGTACCTCTTTTATCTGATTATTGTATACACATGGTATAGAGAATAACATATTGTTCACAATGGTAAAAGTTAGTGTTTATGGACACTTGTAACCAATCCTTCATTTATTTTGATTATCAAAATTATTTTGTCCCTTTTAGATATAGTCTCCATATGCTGCTTTGTTTTGAATGTGTAAAGGTGCACATAAGAAGGTTGGATATTAAGGTTAACTAACAAAAAGGGTTATGGTATAGATTCGGTGCATATTTTTAAAACTAGCTAGATAATGTCAATCTCTAAGCATATTTTTAACTTGGGGACTCTTGGTGTTCATTTAAAACCTCTTGGAGGGAAGAGGACAACTTGAGTGTGTAAGTTGATGGTGTTTCTTAGTGCACGCACGGTCTAATGTGAGGTTCATGGCCACTCTTATAGTCCCTAGAGTTACATAATGTAAACACCGTGTAGCATGTATCAAGTGTTGTAAGTCATTATTGCTCTCAAGCTTTTTTCCCTCTGTAAGTGTTGCCTTAATCCATCACTGGTAATGATGACAAACTCTGCCTTCTACATCAAAAAACATTTCAAACTTTTAAACTTTTTTATCTTGTAGAATTAGAGCAAGCGACTAGCCACAGGATATGCTTATGCCCTGTCTCTATTTATAAAATATAACTGTAATAGTCTTAGGACTAGTGATGCTGGAAACAATTCCTATGAATTGTGAGTGATCAACTTATGATTATCTCTGGATTTATAGGTAAAGTCTTTTATAATTTTCTTTGTCTTGTTCCCATACCTGGGTGGCTTAGGAATGTTCACAAACTATTTGACCTGCACAATGTTTTCATTTGAATGTCATGGGTACATGTATATAGCTGCACTTGATGCTTTGAGCATGAAGTCATGCAATTAAAAAAGAATTGAATCTCACATAACTCAATTATATAGAAACTGTGCATCATGCATCTATAGTCTGTCAATCATCTCTAAAATGGTTAATAACATTTTGCATTTGTTATTGATTGGGTCTTTGAAATCCTTAATGTAATGATTATTTTGAGAATGAAGTATATATATATACATTGAAAGAATAATTATTTCAACATCAGTTGCCTACTGTAAACAAAAGGATTTAACACAATTAATCTTTTTGAATAAACAGTTGCTGTACTTGTTGGAGCATCTTTACTGTTTTAAGATTAATTAGTCAACTTTAATTCTAATTTTTTTTTACATTATCTGGAAATTCTTAATTTTTTTTATCTTTATTATAGTATAGAAATATAAAGTGACTGTACAGTTGTTGAGCAGATAGTACTTGGTGCATTTCAGAAAACCTAAGCCAATCCAAAAAAAAAAAAAAAATGGAAGCTGTAAACAATGTGAGATGCAGTGTTGCTAGCAGAGGTGCATCAGGACATGTATATGAACCTTCATTGTTCAGGTAAGCTTTTTTATATCAAATACACTTCTATGGTTATGATAAAATCAAATTATTAGATGATATTTTTATTATTATATAGAACAATTTATTTTCTTCTGCCTCTTTTCCTTTTGTATTTTTTCTATCCAACCTCTTTATGATGATTTTTATCATCATAGTGCATAATAGTGCACTTTCAATCTAATTTATCAACCAATATATTATCTAAAGTTTTCTCAAATCCAAACAATACCTTTTTATAAAAAAATTGTAATGGGTAATGTTTTATATTTTTAGTACAGTATTTAGCTCTAGTAAACCACAGCTACTCCTCCATGGTTTAATATCCATGGTTTGTTAGGGTCTTCAGTTGCACATTTCAAGCTTCTGTCATCTTGCTGTATGCGGTGTTTAGCGTGGTCAGCTCCTCAGGCTTGATTTTCGTCTTTCTGTGCTGGTTTCTGAATTTGGCATCTTTCTGTGACTCCACCTCTTTCAGCAGGTTGCCCCAGTGACCTTCCTCACTGGTTTGAAGTTCTTCCACACATTCCATGTGTGGAGTTTCTGCCTGTGGTCTACTAACATCTTTTTGGTGCACAGGTTGCTGAGTTCTTGTTCTCCCAACTGCATCTTTCATCACAGTGACAGTATGGAGTGTCCTGGCGCTCTTTTTGTCTCTCCTTGTCCTTTATCTTCTGTTTTGTTTTTGTGCAGTTTTTCACCTGCAGCCTGCACATTCTCCCCCTAACCCTTCTCAGTCTCTGGAGTAGGTGTTGGTTTCTCTTTTTGTCTCCTCAGTTCTTGGTCACCCTTTCAGTCCATGACTCTGACTCCTTTCATATAGATAACCTTATGCATATGTCTTTCTACTATCATATCAGCATCTTTAATAGTATTTAATTCTCCTAAATTATATTGTACTTATATTGAAGTACTGTATAGTCACACTAGTTTAGCATTTTCTATGACAATTACTTGCTATGATGCATTTCCTGGATTCACCTCAGTATTTTGATAATTACCCACTTAATATATTCCCAGGGAACATAAATAATTTTTCATGTTGTATTCATACGAAGTGTCAAATTACATTTGATCCTTTTTTTATGGCAAGATGATCAAAAGTAATCTACTTTATTATGATATTATGTTCAGTGGGCTTTCAACATAAAAGAATAGCTTGCCCATTTATTAGATTAAGTAACAATAAGCTTATCTTAAAAAATACAGCATCATGTTACCTGAGCTTGTAGTGACAACAATCATGTAAGGTGTTTGTGGTGTATTATAAAGAGCTAGATGTAATGTTGCTCTGTTAACATTATTATTGTAAGTGCAACTACAGTAGCAATGGTTGCTTCTCAGGCATGATACTTTTGAGTTACTTAATATCCCACAGTTGAAACAGTTACTGTCCCTCATCAAGTATGTGCTCAAATACTGCAATTTTGGTTTAAGAAAGTGCTATTAATAGAATGTGATTATAAAGACTTGTATTTATTTTACTTCTATTTCAAAAAGTAACAATTATAAATACAAGTAATGTACTGTGATGTACAGTAATGCCACAATATTGCCCAATTTGGCTAATAGATACTGTATTCTCTTACAAACCTACAGCTGGTGAGGGATAAACTGAAGTGTGGATAACACTAATGTGTTTAATATAAAAATTTCAAACAATTAAGAACTACTAAACCCTTGACAATTAAAATTATTTGTTAACATTTTATATGGTAGCATACAGCATGTCTTTCTTTATTTAAATTACATTACAATTCAGTACTTATAATTATACTTATAAAGCAAGCAAATATAAATTACCAAGCTGTTATGTTTTGTTTTGTACATTTGTTAAATTTGTGGGAAAGATTATGTGCTTTCCAGGGTTTAAATAATAATGATGGTATTTTACTACCACTTTTGCATTTAAAACTGATAATGTTTGACTAAATCTTGTGTAACCAATACAGTACAGTATATCTGTCAGAGCCAACCACTCGGTGGCTAATGTATGCAATACAGTATCTTGTTCTTCCCCGGACAGGATCAGCACATCACGGTATTGTCAATGTTTACTCCACCTCATCACAGGAATCTTTTCAAATGTCCCCTCCAGGTGTGGAAAGGGAGGCATTTGAGATTATTATATCAGCCCCAAAATTATCCCCAGAACACTCATTTGTCTAAACTCAGAAACCTCTCCACAGTTACTCAAAAGAGAGCCCATTTGGGCACCATCATATGTCAGTACTCAACATTCTTACATTTAGCCTTGCTCTTTACCCTAGCCATATGCTTGGTGTTGCAAAGAATACAATTCAGTTAAGTAACTCATTCTTCCTTAAAGTTATGTTTCATGTACAAGGGACTTTTACTTTTAGTGTATGCTCCCATGTCATGGTGTTAAAAGTTGCTAGCATTTTTATGGTTATTTGGTTCTTGCTTACATTGTGGTCATTCTCCTCTTCAGTTTCTCTACTACTTTTGCAGTACCGACGCTGTTTTGAATTAGCTTGGGGAGCTACTGAGGGGGTTCTTCTGGAAGTCAAACATTGAATGTAACAAGTGCCCTTTTCTGGGAGGGCTCCCTTAGGTGACTTCCCAAAGATACCCGCTTGAATAGCTCCAATCTAAAAGCACCCACAAGGCTCTTATTAGTCACCTACTGGGCACCAGGACCAGAATCTGGTCCCATCAATAGACACAAAGGGGTCTGGAGATACAAGATCAACCCAGGCTGAAAGGATAAACACTAGAAAGATAGAGCATCTCAAAACAAGCAACTGCATGGAAAAATTGGTAACCCTGACATAAACTATATACAGACTCATTGTTCAGATCCAGCTGCTAGTTAGCAACACTGACCTGCCACCAGATGGCAGCCCTGGCAACTCTTGGCCTCAGTTGGCTGTTTGTCATCTGTCACGCAGCTGGTGTTCTAGTGAGACAAGTTCCTAAGTGCCCTGCTGCCCTTCCTGGCTATATATTTCAGCAAAGTATTGGCAATACTTTTGGAATTTTTTTTTTTTTTTTTTCCTGCAGGAGCCTATGTGTGCATGTGTGTGTGTGTGTTCTCTTTCTGCTTCACGGGTTGTGCTTCTAGCTAGAGTGCTGTGTAAGTCTCGAGTCTCATTCACCTCAGCAGCATGTGTTTAGTGGTAACCTTTTTTGGTTGCTACTAGCATTGCCTTTAGTTTTGGTCAGGGTTTTTCTTCCCTGAGGAGGTTATGGAGTGGGTTTGTGGTTTGATGAATGATTCTTCTAATGGTCTTTCTGGGCTGGATAGAATTGTCTCCATTGTCATCCATTCCTCTACTGTCATCTAATCATGAATGGTGGTAGATGTCAACTGTCTCTTGTTGAGGCTTACCTTGTCCTAGGAAGAGTAGGATATTGCTTAATGGGGCAATTGAGTAACGGCTCAGAGAGGAGCGTTTCATCTAGAAAATAGCTAAACTAAATGAATAAAGTAAATATTGTACTGGAGATGTTGTTTATTCAGTTACAGTATTGTACATAAAGTGGAAAATTGGCAAAGCATATATAGTATGTGAGGTGAATGGTGGTTGATATTTACAAAGGTTTGTGTAGAATAGAGGGATAATGTTAAGGCCTATATTTTAGAAGCATTTCAATATACGGTTCTGTAATGTGGAAAACCTTTCAAATGTGATCTTTAGGAGAGGCAGGGAAGCTACCCATTCTTACCTTGTGTGAATTTGAGGGTTGTGCATTGTCTGTGCCATGTGGGAATGCTCATTCCTTCTGCCTCCACTATGCTGCCTGCTGGGTTAGTGACATCTTTATTCCTAAGACTTGTGGGACTTGTTCTCCATTTATTACTCTTCTTGAGAACCCTCCTACTGAGATTCAGGGTTTTCAGGCAGTGACCGTTTTGCACTTGAGGTTCTCCCTGATGCAGCAGTCTAGGTTGTTTGCTCAGTTGCTCACTCTTGATCTTTCGGGACTCGGATTTGGCGGTGTTGGTTAATTCAACAGTGGTTCCGTCCACACCTCTTCCTTCCCCGTCAGGCTTGGTTCACCCTTTTCCCGATCCTGCCTGCCTGCTTCCTGCCCCCAAAGCATCTGAGGGTTTCGAGGGTGGGGCAAGGTTTAGTTTAAGATGTGGCTTGGGTGATTCCCGGGGTTGCCTCCTTCAAATTTGGCCACGGAGGTAGTTGAATCTACTGATCCCACTAAGGCTTTGCGGTCCTTCCAGTTGGCTCTTCCCTTTGAAGGCTTTCCCCTGTACTGTGCTTCTCTATGCTGGGCAGTGGGCCTGTATGTTGGCTCTGCTCTGGAGCCCTCTTCTGCAGTTCCTGTGCCCTTGGGTTCCATTTGACCCTTTATGGGCCTGGTGCCTTCTGCAGAGGGGTGTTCTGTTACAGGAAGAGGGGTTTTCTTACCCCTCCCCTTCCTTGTATGAGTTTCATTTGGGCACAGGTCCCCCCCCCCATGGTTTGTTTCTGGTTTCCTTTGGGTTTCTTGGTTTTGCCCTGGAGGTTTCCAACCTCCCAGGTTCCTCCAGCAGTGGTTCAGGAGGCCCTTGGTGTGCACCTCCTGCACAACCCAGAGTTCACATCAGTGATGGATCCGTTCTCTTTTGAGTTCAGGTCTTCCCCCTATTGAATGTGTTATGAGGTTCCGGAGTCATCCTGGCTGGCAGCCTGTCCTCTCTTCTCTAGCAGCTTGGCATAGCTTCTGTCATACCCGTTTGCTTGAGTGGTGTGAAGTGTCTACCACATTGCAGTTTTTTTTTTGGTGGGGGGGGGGGGGATGGGGGACTCTTCTTTGGAGCCTCTCAATTCCTGCCTATTTGCCCCTGTTCTCCTTACTCTCACCTGGGATGTAGGCAACTGCATGCTCAAATTCCTCGGCTGTCGGCTGCTCTGGTTGCAGATGACCATTGTGCCTGCTCGCACTTGGGTTCTGTCATGCTTTTCTTGAGCTTCATTGAGCTGCATTCTGATTGGCTTGGTGAGGGTGTTGGTGTGCGCGGTGAGGCTCCTTTTTCGGGGGTCTTGGGTTCTGCAACAGTGGCAGGCATTGTCGGCACTCCTCAAGCTACATGCTCCGATCCTCCAGGAGGCGGTGGCCACGTTTTTTGCCTCCCTTCTTGCATGTTGACAGGCCATGCTGGCCCATTCTGTGAACTTGGCTTGGCCATTGCCCTCCTCTCTTTCTCTTCCTTTTCGGCCCTCCTGTTCCCGAAGGATATTGTTACTCGATTTCTTTCCTCGGTGGCCACTGCTTTGGATTTCCTGTTAAACAAAAATTCATTTTCTTAGGTCCTTTGCAATATTATCAAGTCTAGTCAGCCTGCAATCTGTCCTCTTGTCCATGATGATTGCAAGTATGCCACTCATGGGCAGATATGTTGTGGGCCAATATTTGGGTGCAGGGGTTTTGGCGGCCAAACAGGGTCTTTCCTTTTCTGTGGGTAGGTAGCTTCAGAGAGTCACAAGGGGCTTCCCCCAAAAAACCAGCATTGAATGTAATGAAATGCCACTTTCTGGGTGTGCCCCAGTGGCTCCCTGACACCCTCCCTCTATCAGGAAGTCTGGGGTGTGATAGAACTGAGGGCGGAGCAGCTGGCTAACCTGGGCTGCCTCCCTCCTCCCCCATACAAGGAGGGGAGGTGGTGCGAATGAGCTTGTGTTAGTTTCGTGAATTTTCAATCATTTGTTTACATTGTTGGAGGGAAGGGGGAGTGATTTTGGCTGTTTGGAGGCTGCCGTTTTCTTTCTAATCAGCAATAGCCTTTTTTGGCTCACTGTTTTTTTGGGTGCCTTCCCTGGTGGGTGGCAGACATAAATAGATTCATAGAAATTTTATCATAAGTGCCACTGCTCCATACACCTCATTGGGCTCCATACACCTCACTGGAGGGGAGCCAGGTTCTGGTTCGTGGTCCCTGGTACACCTAAAAGAACTCTGCAACTGATGGCACCCAGTAGTTTGGCACTGTATCAGCTTCAGGAAGCCACCAGGGCTCACCCAGTAAGCGGTGTTTTATTGCATTCAATGCTGGGTTTTTGTATATTTAAAAGAGCACATTTTATAAACACTTGCACATTTACAAAGACAAGACTTTACCTGTAGACAAGAGACAAAGACAAGACTTTATGTGATTAACAGCATTATGAAGAAGATGAAACTGAAGTAATCAACTATGTAGTTAGAGGAAATTGCCTTCCTTAATATTATTCCTTGTATATTTCTTCTGTGATTAATGTAAATTTGTAGTTTGTCAGAAAGCATACCATTCTCCTAGCTGTATTTTTGTCTTTCTTTCCTCTTGTGAATATGTGCTTTTGCTCATTAAATGTATAAAATGCTTGTTGTCTTTATGCTAAGTATGCCTGCATATATCTTTGTAAGTTACCATTGCATGTGAAAGGGGCACTTTTGGGTCTTGAAACTCCATACAGTATTTTGAATTTGTGAAATACTATAGTTGTCTTTCTGTTGTACTTTTTATCCTGCAATTCTTTACCTTTTAAAATAGTTTTTATATTGTGGATGCAGCTCACTTTTTTCTAGAAGCATAGGTTTTCTGAGGCTATGTTTGTTTTACTGAGATAGATTTATTTTTGTAAAATGTTTATCTTAACATTATTTTGAAGCAAACATTGTATTTGAAAGACAATATCTTTTCTGTCTGACTTAGGAATTATTGAAGGTGTAATGCACAAAATGATTGTTTACACAAAACATATGGAACAAAATTGTGGTAAAAGCAGTAATCTCATTCTGTTAGCTGAATGAAAGGTTGTGCATCTGTCTTAAATTGGTACTCTGCATGTTGTATGACTCGTCTACATTAAATATTAACATTTTCAAATAAATACTCTTCAAAAATGAAGAATAATGATTTAAAATTAGATATGTTTGGTTTCTAAATATTGTGTATTCCTGTTTGCACCACAGGAGAATGTGCCATAAAGAAGTAATTACTGTACCATACTGTGTGAAAGTTTCAACTGATGTTGAACATTTGCATTTAATATATTTTGACAATGTAAGCATTCCATGCCATAGAATGGTTTCATATTGCATTTAAAAAGTTATAATTTTTTCAGATTATTAAACAAAATTGCATTATTGTTGCAAGAGTCAAGCACTTGTGATTTAAGCAGACAGACTTGTTGCAAACCTTATCCAAAATGTATTTAATGTACATGGCTGCTTGAGCCATGTCTGTAATAAATATTAGTTGATTGCCTATATTTGAAGCTTCCCATCTTTCCAGTATTTGAAAGGGTGCACTTAGGGCCCATGTCTGTGATTTAAGTGTTTGGGAACTTACCTTTGTTGCAGCAAATTTGTTTACAAAGTTGTGCTATAGTTGAAGTATATTCGATTATAACCGAGTGAGAATATGCCATAAGGTTGTGTCTACTATGGTTGATTTACAGTATTTCATTTTTACAGAGTAATTCTTAATATGAAAATTCTCTAATTCTTAATATGAAACGTAGCAGAAATTGTAACTAAACCCGTTTTTTAGCCAAATGTTTGAACAAGTGTTAGTACTGGCCAGTTTACATTATTTGTGTTGCATTGAAATATATAGTAGAGTGTCGAAAATCTGAAATGGTTCAGGAATAACTGAAATACTCATTGTAATGTATCTTTAGGTACTGTACATACATTACCCTACTTTCCACTTTCATGGAGTGGGAAGCATCAGTTCACAGAGAAAGGGAATAATATAAAGTTATTGTAATTAAAAAAAATATTGCTTGTCAATGTCATTAAATCACTCACCTGCTATAATATATAGCATCACAGATAAACGAGCACCAACACACTTCAGTTATTGTCCACATCAGCACAGCATTGCTTCATAGGACTGGGTATAGGGTGCTCCTCAAGAATTATTATATGCAGTAAAAATATATTACTGCATTCAGTGTTTACTGAATTTGTTAGGTGGAATTGTTTCCACTTATTTTTGTTCCTTACTGATATTCTACACATTTCTCACACTGTCCTCACTTCCTCACACACTCACTATGTTTATCCATCTTTTTCCTAGTCTTCCACTCCTATTCACAACTTCAAATGGAACCTTTTAACCAATCCACCATCACCCATTTGTTCAGCTTTCTCACACCGTCTCAGGTGATCTTTTTGGAGCTCCAGAATGCATATTGGCACGTCCCTATACAGCCAAGATTCAGGGATTGATTACGTTTTGTGGCAAGGTGAAGAATGAATTGTTTGGCTTCCTTAGAGGTCCTTTGGTTATTGATGCATGGTTGGTTTAGCCTGGGCTGCATCATGTGCCGTGTCCAGTAATGGTACTTCCCCACTACATTCCTGCCACCGCTTCTGCTTCCATTGGATGCTTTGTGAATTGATCCTGTTTCCTGGGTTTCGTATTCCACGGCTTATGGTTCTCAGGTCATCTGCAGTGTTATTAAATCTAACCTGCCTGCAGTCTACCCTCATACCCATGAGGGTAGACTTGGTCTCACAGCTGTGTTTACTAATACTGTATGTCCTGGGCTGATATTTGGGCGTGGGGGTTTTGGTGGTCTAACAGGGTTCTGGCATCCAAGTATTTTGTGAATATTCCTGGTCCTCTGTGCCCTTATATGGCCTTGGGTTCTCTCTCTCATCCGGGAGTCTCTTCTTCGTCCTGACTTCTGCGGTTCTCAGTCCTCCCTGGTAAGTTCCCATGTATTCTTCCTTCTCCATCGGTAGTTAGCTTCAGAGAGCCACGAGGGGCTTACCCCCCTGAAAACCAGCATTGAATGTAATGAAACGCCAATTTCTATACGAGCCCCAGTGGCTTTCTGATTCCCTCATCCCTTTCAGGTCGTCGCATAGGTCTTGAATGTACATCTGCTCCAGAATTGATAGCCAAGACCCCTGGAGATGGTGTGCCCTTTCCCTCCCTCTCCCAAATGAGTGGAGGAGGTGGGGTGGATGAGCTCATGCTAGGTGTAAGAGATTTGATTGTTTACATAGTTGAAGTCCATTTGGTGGGTTGTGAGACTCTGACCTCTTCTGAACCCAACAGTGGTTTGTTTTGACTCATTGACTTTCTGGATACCTTTCCTGGTGAGGTAATGAAATGTCACTGCTTCCTGCACCTCTGTGAGGGGACCAGGTTCTGGTTCCAGTGCTCGATAGGCCTAAAAACTCCACAGATGCATGACTTAGTGATGAGAGCCATTTCAGTGTATATCCACAGGGAGCCACTACGTCTATATGAAACCACATATACACAAACAACTGATGAGTCTCATTATAAAATATAGAAAATATAAGAAATACAAAGATTATAGTACAGCAGTAATAAATATGTAAAAAGTGAGCTTGCAGAATGAGGAACCAAGTAGTAGTAGACACAGTTATCCTACCTTTCCTGTCTTACATCCACACAAATCAACCAACTCTCACAGATAGGCAGTTTAACATTAATGAAAAAATACTGTACAGTACAGATTTCAAAATTAAGTTTTTCGATGCTCTACTGTAAAATAAATGGTTCAGATTTATTTATCTTCAGTTTTACAAACCTCATAAAATTGTATTTGAAAATACATCATATTTCTTTGGGTAATACCTGAATCTATTTATGTAATATTCTCATGAATTTGTTTGAAGAGATGTATCATTTAATCATCTTTGATATATACAATTGCATGTAGATCTCGTTATGCAAGGTCTGGACTTTCTACGGGTAACGGGTATAACCCTAAAGCCATATGTAAATCCACGGATGCACTGAAATCTATTTAAGCACAAATTAGTATACAGTACTTCATTAAGCTTGACAGTGCTGTTAATATCTTTCTATATTTTTAGTAGGAAATACTGCATCTTCATGTAGTATATGGGGAGCTGAAATAGAGCTAAGTTCTATTACCTTACATTAACAGGGAGTGCATCTACTAGTTATAAGTTCCAATGTTCAATCATCACTGTATAGTCAATCACAGTCAACTATTGTACAATATCCTAGGGAACTTCTTAACTATAGCAGCTTAGTCAATGGAGGTTATATCTCATTGCAGTTATATTTTGAGATTTCTAGATCAACCTACTTATACAGTATTGTGACATGTAGATTTTTTATCCTTATTAAAGCTGTTGTAACAATTGTCTTTTATTTATCTGTGCGAGTGTATAAAGAAAATATATTGTACATTATTCCTAAATATAAAATATAGATGGCTTTAACCACTACAACAGCATTATATAGCCATTCTGGCTTAATGCTTTCTCTTAATAATTACTTATACAGTACAGGTATACTTTCTTCAGCCAGTAGAATATTGTTGTAAGGGGGAAAACACTTTAGTTTCAGTTATTAATATAAATACAGTATTTATTGCAGGCAATGATTCACAATAATGTGGCTGAAGTATGTTGACCAGGCACAGTCGTTGTCCCTTCACTTTCTAGTGTGTGGTCTGGTCAATAAATATTTATTATTTTACCAATGACTTTACACAGTGCTAGTTGTTGAAACTAGAAAGATATGTAAGTGGTATTTATAATTGAAATTTAAAGAATAGAAAGATGGACTGGTGTGAAATGTATACTGTATTGGGATGCTGCCATACTTGCCAAAACCATGCAATACATGGATGTGTAACAAATAAATTTACTAACATATTTTTGGCACATCTGCATATATACAACTACCCAAGACTATAGAAAGGATTTCACCTTGGAATACTAAAATTTGCATCTAGCAGGTTGGTTTGTCATACAATTAACCTGCACTGACAAAGCTGGGATGTATTATTAGGATATTCTCTGGAACATAAAAGCAAATAAGTTGTACAGCTCCTTGTACTTGATACCAGAAGTTCTAATGACATGACATTCAATAATATTTCCCCGAGACCCACAATTTTACGTGCTAATTTAACTGTTGCATCTGTCAACACAATTTCTGTACAGAACTATTTATTTAGCTTCTGATATATTTATTCTGTGCAATGAGGCAGTTATTTATGATTTCTGTTAAAAGGTTCTTGCTGTATATTTTACAGACATTTATAAATTAAAAATAACTAAAATATCTTGCTCCACAATGGGGTTACATATATAGTATATATGGCCAGGTATAATGTGTTCAGTTAACTGACAAAACGGTGGTTGTCAGGTCCGGCAAGTCTCTCCGCTAGTCTAATGAGACCAGAGATAATGCCTGCACATGATGCAGGGGGCTGCGAAGGAGCCTGTGGGGCCTTGAGTCCCCATTGTGAAGGCTGGATCGCCTGGTTGGAGGAGCCACTCTTTGGTAAGACTGGAAAGTCTTCTGGTTGGTTGGTGGGAGCTGAGGTGGTGGGTTGAATGCCTGGGGCTCTGGTTGCGGAGGTAGAAGGGTTGTTTCTCTTGGCTTCAATCTGGGCCTTAATGTTTTCCTGTCTGCGAGGGCAGTGGTAGGAAATTGCAGTGATTGCCATCACAGCCCAACCAGCCTTGCATATGGAGTAGTGATGGTCCATTGCGCACAGGCTGCATTTCTTGACGGGGTGCTGACATTTGTTGGTGGGTTGGGTGAGCCCGTAGCACTGCTGGATCGCATGGTATCTCCATTTTTACTTGGTTGGGTTGTATTTGTAAGCCGAAGCAATAGAAGCCTTGTGTGGCAGCCTGGGTGGCCGCGGCTTTGGTGGTGAACGTAATCTTCATTGATGATTTGTCGGTGCTGCAGAACTCTAGGTTAAATACAGCCAGGTTCGGATTTTCGTCCTATTGTCCATGATCTTATATTCCAGTCAGTCAGCGATCCATTGGCTGGTCCTGCTGGTAAAAACAGTTCTTCCGGCCAGGGACTGACGTGAGAATTAAGGATGTAGGTGGTGTTCCTTGCGAAGTATGGCATTGTTGGTCAAGAGTTATTCTAGTTCTTACTCACATGAAAAGAAGAGCACGATATCATCACCTTCGTGACTAATGTCAGTGGGTGTGATGCCGGTAACGTCCTTCAGGACTGATATCGGTTTTCACGAAAGCATGACCGTCAAGGTCGGGTAGCTCTAACCTTTAGACGTTTGGGTCGCATTGTATCCACAACCCTCAATGGGTAGCAGTGCGAATGTGTGGTTACTCGATTGATGAAGATTAAGCCACCCAGAAGGTGGCAGGGGCATGAATAGCCCGTACGTGTGGTTACTCGTTGTTGTTATAGATTCAGCTACTCTGAACAAGTTCCAAGCAGCACGGGCTATAGTGAGCCCGTAACTTACCTGGCACGGGAGCGGGGCAAGTAGGACGGGCTATGGTGAGCCCGTAGTGTTGGCACAGGAGCGGTGCTGTGTAGGGCACCTATTATAACTATCGAGTATTGTTACTCGCTTCTTGATTGCTTATATGATTGGACTACACCTCATCTCATCATCCTTCAATAAGTTGGAAGGAATGTTACCTGTAATTAGGGAAAAGGTATGAATGATGTCATTAGTGCTAATGAGAGTTTTGCTTCTTTCATTTAGCTAAAGAGTTTGGAGCAAGGATATTAGTTACAATACAATACAATTTTATTTAGGTAAGGTACATACATACAATAAATATTTACAAGGATTGTTTAACTTATAGGTATAGCTAGTACATACAATGCCTAAAGCCACTATTACGCAAAGCGTTTCGGGCATGATAAACTTAAATGACAAGCTTAATACTAATTGAGCATAATGAGTAGAATGAAAACAAGAAATGAAAACATAGATGAAAAAGCAGCACAAATACAATTATGTCGACAAACAGCGCTCTTTAAAGAAAAAAAACAGACATTGGTTGACAATAGAAGGGTAAGGTAGGTTACAGGGAATTTATTAGGTATAGCTTCGCTTTTAACTTAAACTGGTTGAGAGAGGTACAGTCTTTAACATGGTTGGGAAGGTCATTCCACATTCTGGGCCCCTTGATTTGTAGATCATTTCTAGTTTGATTAAGTCGTACTCTAGGAATATCAAAACTGTATTTATTTCTGGTGTGATGCTCATGGGTTCTGATACAACCTTCTATGAAGCTTTTGAGATCAGGATTGGCATTATAGTTTAACGTTTTATATATGTATAATACACATGAGAGAATGTGCAGTGACTTAATGTCTAACATATTCAGAGATTTAAGTAGGGGTACCGAGTGATGTCTGGGGCCAGAATTGGATATTGTCCTAATAGCAGCTTTGTGTTGAGTAATTAGAGGACGTAAGTGATTTTGGGTAGTAGAGCCCCAAGCACAAATACCATAGTTGAGATATGGATAGATAAGGGAGTAATAGAGAGTCACCAGGGCAGGGCGTGGTACATAATATCTGATCTTAGAAAGAATGCCCACAGTTTTTGAAACTTTTTTTGATATGTTTAGAATGTGTCCCTGGAAATTAAGCTTGTGGTCAATGAGAATGCCAAGGAATTTGCCATCTAATTTGTTACAAATTTGGGTATTGTTTATTTTGAGATTTATTTGATTAGAGGATTTATTGCCAAACAGAATATAAAAGGTTTTGTCAATGTTAAGGGTGAGTTTGTTGGCAGTTAGCCACAGATGGACTTTATACTCGGTGGAGATGGAGTTATACTCGCTACAAGCTTAGGTACTTTAAATGAGGGATTACAGAGTATAGGTCTGGTGTGCCTTCATCTGGATTACTGTATCCATGCATGTAGACCTTAATTTCAAAAGGAAATGCTGTACAAGTACATGTATATCTGCTTAAGAGAAAGTTCAATGCAGAGCAAGAGATGTCATCCCATAACTAAGTCATCTATCATAACAGGATGGGTGAGACCTATCAGGATTAACAACACTACAAACCAAACATGACACGGCTAATCTCATCGAGATCTTTAAATATAATTTTGTTTATATTTAAAGTCCCAGCCCATCCTTAATCCTTATCCTGATCCCTTCCAAGTGCTATATAGTAATGACTTGAAACTTTCTCCTTACCCCCGTCCTATCCCAAATCCTTATATCCTGTCCTTTCCCAGTGCTATATAATCGTGATGGCTTGGCGCTTTCCCCTGATAGTTCCCTTCCCCACTGCTAAGTGAACAGACGCATCAGGTGAAAGGAAACGTGCCCAACCCTTTTTTTTTGTCCCGCCAGGGAATCGAACCTGGAATCCCCAATTGTGAATCGAGAACGTAGGCACTGAACTACTGAGACCCTTTAAATATTTAAATATTATATTTATTTATTGATAATTTTTTGTTTTGACCTGTACTTAAAAAAATATAGCAACATTTTTATTCTCAGTGTTTCATAATTAATTAATTTGTGTTTAACTCAATTTCTTTCTTTATTATGCACCCCATACCCATCCCGTGGGCGGTGGTGTAAAGGATTACAGAGGGACATAATCGGTTCAGGAACTGAACCCTCTAGTTCGTTTACCTAAGCAAATAACACATTTTTGACGCTAGTTACAAAAGTACAAAATTATTAATGTTATATATACGGTTCAATAATAATCTTTTGTTTAACTGTTGGTAATATTATCGGTGGTGGTGGTGATTGTTGTGGTGGATCAGCTGTGAGGAAGATGGCGTCGAGGGTGGCCCGGAGCACCGCCCGCCAGGTGAAGCCTTTACTCTCCCTCGACCACGGCGAGGCCAAGAAGCGAGTCCTCAACCTTTATAAGGCTTGGTATCGCCAGATTCCTTATATTGGTAAGCACGCTCGTGTATCAACGTGTATTAAAACTGGACTGACCTTCAGTCATCCCGGTCGGGACAGAAATGGTTGGGCACATTTCCTTTCACCTAATGCCTCTGCTCACCTAGCAGTAAGTAGGTACTCAGGAGTTAGTCAGCTTGTTGTGGGGTTGCACCCCGGGCGGGGTCAGTAATTTGACCTTGAAGGGGACCTTGATAAAAGCCTAACGTGTATGAATACACTCAGGCTTTCTGTCCCCCGACACAGACTTATTTACTTATTTATTTATTTTTATTTATTTATTTATTTATATACAAGAATGTACATTGGGTTAGAGAGAATACATAGCATAGTATTTACAATCTTGTAAAGCCACTAGTACGCGCAGCGTTTCGGGCAGAAATTTACAGTATTAATTTAAGTGCTGTTGGAGCGGTCAGTTAATAACATCTTGGCTCCCAAACAGTACAATACTGTGTAAATATGTCATGAGTCTGTAGTATTCGGTGACTTAAGAGGGTCAGTAAATGGAAGCCGAGTAAAATCAAATGGTACACCGACATTTCCTCACAACCGTGTTGAACCTAAACCAAAAGGGAAAAGTCTAAGAGGTGTGGAAAGTTTGAACCAGCAATAGCATTGCTGTGCATTTTAAACAAACCCAACCAAGGTATAATCAAATTAGGCAATTTGACAAAGTTTGTTTTCTAATTGTCAACTCATACTGTATATCATTAGGTTTGGCTGTGTTAGATTAAGTTGGGCAAGCTATGTTTTAAAGTGTTTGTAAACCATCTTTGCATGTATGTATCTAGCTAGTTCAACAACCCTTGTACCATTTTCATGTTTACGAATAATCTTTGTTTTTCTTCTATGGTCATTCTCATATGTTTTCTTGGCTTGAACCTTACCATTGGCTTGCTTGGGACCCATGGCGAGTTATATACTGTAATAACAAATTTTATGTTCAAATTGCCAAAAATACGAAAAAAAAACTGTAAATCTTTGCAAAGAATTCAGGCGCAATAGTCACTTAGCGGGAGGCACTGGTAAACTGAGGCGCGATCACCATGCCACCACGTGCTAGGTCAGCCCATACGCGTGTTAACAAACTCGTTTCCAGAGGCAAAGTTCGTAACCCAATTCAAATTTTCCGAAGAAATTGGGCTCATAACCAGAAAAGTTCGTAAAGAGGGGCATTCGTAAGCCGAGGCGTCACCGTATTACTGTCTACTATTGTAGTCACTCCATACACAGCATCAATTGATAGAAATGATAAAAATAGAAATTGATAGAAATTGCCTTTAAAATATTTAAATGTACTGTACCTTGTATAAAGAGCCAAGTGGTGGGGTCAAAAACATTCAATCACTAAATAGACACTGATAGGCAAGCACGAGAACTCCATCACTTTGTATCACAACATGCCTGCCGGGGAATAATTTTGTCGTATTGTCAACAGAACGAGTACTGTATGTACTTTCAGCAGTATACAGGTACTTTTCTTTTTCTTGGGAAATTGTTTTATGTAAGGGTAACATATTAATGGATAAGCTTCAGTATCTTAGGTCAAATCATATATGATTTAAATTAAATTAATGCAAGTTTTTGTCAACTATTTTTGTTGTTGTAATGCATGTTTTACTTATGATGACTTTGATCATACTGTAAATATTTTAACAGTTATGGACTATGATTTACCGAGGTCCAAAGAACAGTGCCGAGAAAAGTTGAGAGAAAAATTTGAAGAGAATCGACATGTCCAAGACATTCGTGCTATTGATATGCTGGTCATTAAGGTAAGGCAGTATGCATAGTAAATTACTTTTATACATTAACTTACACAGAAATGTAAAGAAATCACAGTGGTGTGATATATCAGTCATTTTGAGCAATGCAGTGACTTGAACCAGCATCCTAGTGAATCCCAGATGCTTGCCCTAACAACTCAGCCATGATAGTCCTGTGGTGTCTGAGCTGGTTAAGGCAAGCATCTGAGTCACTAGAATGTTGGTTCAAGTCACTGCATTGCTCAAAATGATTCTCATAATGGAAATATTGTGATTTAATATATAATTTCAGTGCTTACTAATACTATACTATACTATACAGTACTGTGTTTGTTAAGTGCCAGTTTGAGACAGTCATAGTATGGAGGTTTTCTTGAGAGATCTAGTATGGTTAACATTTTAACCATAGGCTTTCATTAATGAGTGAATTTGGATTTTTTTTTTTTTTGCCTAATTTATTTACAGTACTAGTTTAAATTAAAAAAATACAAAATCTTTTCTGAGTGGATGTAGGCATTTAGATAGCCTCAATAGTTGGTGTTGTAGTTTTCACATTTGCAGTGAAATAATTGAGTTGATAATGGCCTTTTACCTGTGTATACAGAATTGTTTTGAATTTGTATAGGTTTTACTTAGTTGTGCAATTATTTCAACCTAGCCAAATAGTGATTTCATAAAATTATTTACATTGGTACTCCTATTGGTCCCTGGGATACCATTTGGCCTTTAAATGGTGACTTAGGTATATTGTTCATTACCCCTGAGGTTGCTTTTCCTTGTGCCTCCTGTGTGGGCTTTGTGGTGGGTATTGAAGTTTTTCCATTTTTGTTACGTTAGAGATTCATGCCCTACTTCCCCCCCCCCTTTTTTTTGGGGGGGGGGGGGGTACTTTCTGGGTGGGCGACCGGGTCCCTAAATCGGACTATGTTGGAAGGTTGGGCTCCATAGCTCCAGGGCCAGACCAGGCTTTGTCTCTGACTATTCCAACTGACCCTCTCTGTTCCCCTTCCATTTCTTTGGCAGGGTCGAGTCCCAAGCCCCCAATGGTGACTACCTTGTCTCCTGGAGTGGTTACTGCACCATTTATTCCTTTCCTGAATAATGGTTCGTAGTGCCATCACTGTGCTTGTATGCATTTGATTCCCGCTACCACTCCTATGTTTCAGGATTTGTTTGGCATCACTACATGGTTCAAGTATTTTCGTCTTTGTCATAATTAATGTACATATACTGATTACGTACATATCCTTAATCACCTCGTTGACTGCAGATTCCCACGTTACTTTTATTCCCTACCCGGAATACCACATGTAATAGGGCGCTGGTGGCCGAGTGGACAACATGCTGGATACGTAGTCCTGTGGACCAGGGTTCGATTCCCGGTGCTAGCGGAAATAGATGGGCGGAGTTTTTCACCCTGATACTCCTGTTACCTAGCAGTAAATAGGTACCTGGGAGTTAAACAGCTGTTATGGGCTGCTTCTTGGGAATGTGTGTGTATCTATATCTTGCCTCTCAACTCGAAAGCCTTTTTTAGGTCCAGATAGATGCAGTCATCTGGGCCAATTGCTTTGTTCTTGGCTCCAGGAGTACTTGTTTCACTTCGTCTCTAGACACCTCTATGTGCTCTATGCTGTTCCCTGGAATTCTTATTTTGTCTGGTTCTCTGAAGTTCTCATTTTGTACAAACACACTTTGGAACTTTTCGTTTAATGTTTCACACATTTCCTTTTCCGTGTATCTGTCCCCCATTTTCAACCTCTGAATATTATCCTTTACCTGCAGCTTGCTTTTAATGAATTTATAGAAAAGGCCTGGATCTGATTTACATTTGTCTGCTATACCGTTCTCAAAGTGCCTCTCCTTACCGACGTTAATTGTATCTTGAATCTTTGTATTGCTGGTATGTTTGGGGGTTTGGCCGAGACTGGAGGCTGTTGCACAGTACAAAGTTACTGGCATGCGTCTCTCAGTCTGAAACAAACTTGGTTCTTCTCTTCTAACACTACAGACAAGTGTTAAAACAGGGAAAAAGTGTCTATAGACAGATTCTTAGTAAAAAAAAAAAAAGCAGTGAGCCACAACCAGGTCCTAGTGGTATGACTGCAAAACGTGAGTGTACCTCAGAAATGTGCATACAAATTATCTGGTTGAGGAAAAGTGGTGCTCCAATTAACACTAACAATGTTGTAAAGTTAATCTTTATCTTTTTCCCCATTTCTTAGGGTCAAATGGAACTGAAGGAAACTGTGGAGATCTGGAAGCAGAAGCATGGGCTGATGGCTTACTGGCAGGATAGTGTAGAACCTCGGCCCAAAGACTTCCTTAGCAAGTTCTTAGATGGTCATGAGTGATATCCTGACTGATGTAGAATTAATGTTTCATGTGCTCCTTTACTATATAGACATTTAAAAAATTTAGCCAGCTATACAGTAATTACCTTATTTAAATATAAATGTACAGAATATGCTTTAGTATCATTTACTTGGAAATTTCCTTTTAAACTGGTAATTGTTAAGATACTAAACCTTAATGCATCTGAAAGTCCAGTGTACATATTTATTAAGATACCTGTGTAAATATTTGTATTAAATGCTGAAATTTATTTTTTATGTATACACACCCTTCGTGTACTATTTTTTAAATGCATTTATGTAGAGTAGTGCAACATTAAAGCCATAAATATTGAAGGTATGGTAAGAAATTTCTGATATCTTTGGTAGTGATACAGTATTTTTATAATTGGTCATGGTAATTTGTCTTTCTTCAGAAAGCTTCTTTTAATATAAATTCATATACAGGTACAGTATAAAACCAAAAATAAAGCCACAAAGCCTCGTCGGGCACCCACAATCCAACAAGAGCAGACCGTGGCAATAGGCAGGAGCCACCAAACTGGAAGGTGAACAGGAGAGCAAAGGGCAACACTGAAGTTCAAGAACAGGCTAATACTGCGCACTTGGAAGGGGGGGGGGAACAGATGGCACCCAGACCTAAGGGACAGAATCGGAGAGCTCGAGAGGAGCAACCAAAGCCACCACAGCAAATCAAAAGCAAGATAACTGAAGAAATGGGAAGAAGACCCCTACACAGCTGCCAGGAGCCCAGTGAATACATGACAACCCAAAACAGTCTGAAGGGACCCACCATGGGCACTGCCAAGAAAAAGCAGGGGACCTGGGCACAGAGCTGCACTAGACCCAAGGCCTGAGAAAATGGGGGGGGGGGGGACACAAACAAGGAGGAATGCAAAATAAACACTCACTCAGCCCATACCATGCGAAGGCATGGAACTGGCAAGCGCTGCACCAATCCCAAGCAAGAACAAAGCAAGCCTGCCAGCCAGGAAGATGCCAGAAACCCTTGAAACACTCCCACTAGGCTGAGAAGACCCACATGTAATGGAAGCAAGGTCAAACTATGAGGCAGAACTGGGCTATGGAGGAGGAACAAATAACTGCACGAGCTGCCATAGGAGGTACCCGAGAGGCAAGAACCTCCGGAAGGACAAACCAGAGGGGTCCAAAGGGACCTTTCAGGGGAAGGGGAACTGCATCCCAAGCATATGCATGCAGGGAGGACAATGCCACCCCCTCCCCCCTGATAACCAAGGAATCACAGAATAACAGGGCCCAGGCTCCCCCAAGCCCTAGAAGCTGCAGACTAGGGTTCTGGGGCAGAGCCTGCATCCGCACCCACCACCCAGGCTAGAAGAGTTGTCCAAGGAGGGGAGGGGCTGGAAGAAAGGAAAGACCCAGATGCCCCAGTGAGACAAGTAGGCTCTACTTCCTCAGGATCCAAATCAGAAGGGGCCACAAACTCTTTGAGCCACATCCCAAGCAAAAACCAACCCCAACCCATAAATGCCTCGGGGCCGAAAGGGGGAAAGAACAGAGGAAGGACAAACCATGCCTGAAAAGGAAGGTGGTAATGTAGGCAGAGCTAAGGTTAAAATAACCAACCCCTTAAAATCTTGATCCCTAAACAGCAAACGGTGCATACAACCTAGACCACAGTGAACCGAACACAGTGGAGGCCACCTACAAGCCTGAACCTCAACGAGAGGGCTAGAAAGGAAAGCAACATGATGGGAGGAACCCATCATGGTTGAAAGTGTCACTGACCCAACAGACAGCACAGTGAAAGATGAAGGGATGAACTTCGTCACGTGGCCCTGATGACGTGCAACCTGAAACACTAAGCGAGAGCTAGTGTGGGGGATACCCGTAGGCCCCCCTGAACGCCTTATTTCCAGGGTCTGCAATATACCCAACAGGACCCCAAGGCACTGGGGACACGACACATGTCCTATATAATTTTAGAGATTCTCAAACAACAGATACAAGTAGGCCAAGACAGCCTACCCTACACACACGACTGAGATGGGCAACTCCAGCATGCTGAATGTAGCTCGCAAACCTCGGTGAACCCCATCTGCCAAAATCAATACCCAGAGAAGGGCAGGAAGTAAAAGACAACTGACACCTAGGGTAAGGGCCACCACAAGCAAGGATCTCTTAAGGGCGCAATCCCCAAACTCACTCCAGGGAAGATAATCTCGGCAGCATGAGAGCAATCCTACAGGGAAAATTACCTTGAGCACATGCAGCTCCAATACACTTTTTTTTGTGCTCTGATATACAACCTTACATGAACCTTAGTCCTGGCTTTGTTGCTGTTGACTTTTCCTTTCACAGTACATACTCAAATGTTCTAAAGTTTCTAACAAACGTGACCTAAGCCTTCCCATCTTTTTTCTCTCTTTCTTATGTTCCCATTCTAACTCCTATTATTATCCCTTTACACCCTTTATTACACCAATCCCTTCCATACCTTTCGCCTGTTTACCATCCTCTAAGATTTCCTCCTCTCCTCTCTTGCCTTACTTAATACCCGTGCCTCCCTCGTCCCATCACACACTATTTGATAATTGTCCAGGATGGACATAAAACATCGTCGTCTCTTCATTTTTAGTGTGGTTTGGTCAACATTTCTTCAGCCATGTTATTGCGACTCATCTTCCCTAACTTGTTGGTTAAACTCCAGACTCATACCTCTTGGCTGGTAAATTGTTCCAGCTTAGGAAATAATAGCTACCAGACATCACCTGGACAATGTTGAATTTCAAAACCTGAATGCAGAAAATAAGCCATGATTATTACGGATATTAAACCAAAAAAATAAATGCACAAGTGTATGGAACAGCTAATAAGATACTGGGATATATTACTAGAAATGTGCAAAACCAGTTATCCCATAATAAAGCTGGTAAAAAAATGCAATAATTTTAATTTCTTGTAGAACTTCAGAATGTTAAAAAGAATGAAGGTCTGTGTGCTCTTGCAGCATTTTCTATGAGAACATCCCTGAACAGGGAAAAATGTAATTAAGTCTCCCCTTTTGGTGTTTGTTTACAAACAAGAAAGCTAGTGTTTATGTAAAGACTATATTATCTTCAGGAAAACCAAACCAAACACTTAAATTCTGTTTATTTGCAATTTCATTACAAATGGGGAGGTGACATCAGTTGGGTAAAAAGATATTCTTATTTAAACAAACCATTACAAAGAAAATATTTAAATAAATTTTGCTTGTGTATATTACTGCATTGGCTGGATGTTTAATTCCGCTCTGAAAAAAAGAAAAAACATTACCTTTAATTATCTACTATAGAAATATATCCCCAAATCAAGACTCATTTCCAACCTACAGTACAGTACTGTTCATGCATTATACAAATGCAATAAAGTGTAAGTACATACGTATTCATTATTAATTTCTAATGCAATTAAAAATAAATTTACCAAGAGCCATCTTTAATACCAAATAAATCATAGGTCCTCTCACTGCCACAGAAGTATCATCTTCACTAAATAAATAATTATATCTACAGTACTACACACACTTCATAATAAATACATATTGTGGACATGCTTCAGCAACTATGTAATATACTTGAAATTCCTATGTCTAATGAACAAATACAGGCACTCAAAATGCCAAGCCCAGCTCTAGGAAAGATGTACTGTAAAAACTATAGGCAGGAACTATGAATTCAGAGGTGTCTTAAGTGGCAAGGTAGGTAGGAAAAATAAAAATAGTGTTACCAAAAACTAGAAACAAAAATCAAATTGAGCTGCATTTTTGTGCCTCCCAGGCATATGATCTTCATTAATTCATTCACTCACCTACCCACTTATTCATCCAGTCATCCACCCCCCATTTGTTCACCCCCCCCCCACCATCCTCATTCATTCATTCAACCCACCAAATTATTTATTCACTAACCCAATCCCCCTCCCTAACCCAGGGAGCCGGTCGGCCGAGCGGACAGCACGCTGGACTTGTGATCCTGTGGTCCTGGGTTCGATCCCAGGCACCGGCGAGAAACCGGCAGTTTCTTTCACCCTATGCCCCTGTTACCTAGCAGTAAAATAGGTACCTGGGTGTTAGTCAGCTGTCACGGGCTGCTTCCTGGGGGTGGAGGCCTGGTCGAGGACCGGGCCGCGGGGACACTAAAAAGCCCCGAAATCATCTCAAGATAACCTCAAGATAACCCTCTCGTTTACCAACATCCAAAATATTGTAGTGCCTATGCTTATAGCCCCTATTAGTAAAACTGAAAAAATACAGTACAGGGCTGTATTTATATAATGTACTAGAATAACTGTCCAGATTACATCACCAACCAAAAGAAAGCTGTAAATTCACCAATTTTACTGAGCAATGAAGTGAGCTTTGGCTATCAAATCTTTTATCAAAGCAATTATAAACATTATAGTCTTTATAAATTATTGTTCATAATTTTTTCTTTATTAGACTAAGAATTATAAACTGAAAGCTGTCAGATTTTAATGTTCTTGAAATGTAGTTTAAAAATTTAGATTATATTTTGTGTTCTAGTTATTCATGTCAGACATATAGAACAAAATTTTGTTCATGCTTCACACCATGATGCTTTAAACTTGTTTTACCAACTTAACTTTGGAAGATACACACAATATATAGCTGGGTAGAAGTGTATTGACAATGCAAGATAGAGCTAGAAGGCGGTTTATGGGGTTACTAGAAATAATCTGTGAAGGTCTCTTGACAGCTATAAAGAATGTCTGATGGAAAGCTTGGACAAAAAAATTTACAAAAGATATAGACAGGGGACAGCACAAAGAATCAGCCATAGATTGGAGATTTTAAGTACTGGTACATGAACAACAAAATTTGAACAGAATCGTATATAATAATATAATAAATTACTACTAAATTCACCAAGTCATGAAATGGCTGTTTTCAGTAATATATATAAAAGCATATTAAAGGAATTCTACACAAGATTTATTTAGTGATTTATAGTAGGTTTTCTGTATTTATCTCCAGATTACCTGCGGTGGTTTTCAAAACTTTTACTCCCTGGCCTGAACTCAAATAAAAAATCCTGCCAAAAATCTCATACTTCAGCAAAAACTAAATAATTTCATGTTTATGCACTGGTCAAATGCTGTGTAAGAGTATATTCACTTTAGTTAGAAAGTTGAACTGACTGACAATATGGGTTAGGTCTCCATTTATTTCTATTACCTAGAGGATTAAGAAAATTTAATGCAAGCTTTTAACTGGTACCGGTATGTATTTTGCATGTTCAATTCCAATTTATTTTTTCAACTGGATACTGTAGCTAAATTGGACATGCACTTAATCTTTATCGGTACTTTTGCAAATAAAGACATTCAACCAACTTTATATCATTACCCTGTACCTTCATTTAACTGTTTTGATTCATCACAACACCTCTTGTCTATGTGCCTTACTGTATGAAGCTTACTTACCTGAGTTGCTGTGAGAAGTCATCTTCAATATTGTCATCATCCCAGTTATCTTCCCACACATTAACATCCTCAGCATCTTCCTCAGCGGCACCCCAATCTAAAATTTGGGACAAGGGTAAAAACCAGCAGCCACAGTGAAACCACATTTCGTGTATACAATTTCAAACACAGATTAGATTGACAAGTAGTTGGCTTACAACCCATTGAATCCAAGAACGATTCCCGGGCAGAGCAAAATGTTTTGGGCACTTAAGTTTTACCTTATGCATCTGTTCACCCCACTTGAAGTGAACGGTCTCGCTTCATGCAGGTCGGCGTTCAATCGCCAAATGTCCAAGTAGATGGGCACCATTCCACCCCCCCCCCCCCCGATCCCATTCCAAATCCTTAACCCTTCCAAGTCCTATAATAACATAATGACTTGGTACACTTTTTCCTGATGGAGAAATCATCTTACTTTACCTAGAAGAAATTAAGCAATAATTGTGTTGCATCCTGAGGAAGATTAGTCATTGGCCAAGAGGGACATCAACAAGCCTAATAGGCTGCCTGTCTCAGACAATGGGAAACGATAACTACTTTTACAGTAAAACAACTAAGTAAATATACTGGCAAAGAATTATAGACCAGTTGCACTAACGTCCCACACAATAAAAGTAATTGAGAGAGTGATCAGGAGTCAGGTCACTAGATTCATGGAAACCAATGACCTCCATAATCCAGGCCAACATGGATTTAGAGCAGGAAGATCATGCCTCTCACAGCTACTTGACCATTATGACAAAATCACTGAGGCATTAGAAGAAAAGCAGAATGCAGATGTTGTATACACAGACTATGCAAAGGCATTCGACAAATGTGACCACAGAGTGATTGCACATAAAATGAGGTCAATGGGTATAACTGGTAAAGTAGGACGCTGGATACTCAATTTCCTGTTGAACAAAACACAAAAAGTAACAGTCAATCAAGTAAAATAGAGTCCGAGCTCAGTTAAAAGCTCTGTACCTCAAATACAGTCCTTGCACCACTGCTGTTCCTTATTCTCATATCTGATACAGATAAAAATACAAGTCACAGCTTTGTGTCATCCTTTGCAGATGATCACAAAAATCAACATGAAAATTACCTCTGCTGAAGACATTGAAAAACTAGACAGATAGACATTAACAAAGTTTTTGATTGGGCAGCAGAAAATAACATGATGTTTAACGGTGATAAATTCCAGGTACTCAGATACGGCAAAAATGAGGATCTGAAACATAATACAGGGTACAAAACACAATCGAATCTTCCCATAGTAGGAAAACAGCATGTCAAGGATTTGGGAATAATGATGTCCGACGACCTAACGTTTAGGGAGCATAACCAAGCAAGTATTGCGTCAGCCAGAAAAATGATAGGATGGATTACGACAACCTTAAGTCCAGAGATTCCATCACAATGGTTGTACTCTTCAAATCACTTGTGTTGTTCTGTCTTGAGTACTGCTCAGTACTCGCTTCCCCCTTCAGAGCAAGAGAGATTGGTGAAATAGAGGGAATACAGAGAACATATATGGCACGCATAGACGAGATAAAGCACCTAAATTATTGGGATCATCTCAAAGCTCTCGAAATGTACTCACTAGAAAGGAGACGAGAGATATCCCAAATAATATACACATGGAAAATACTGGAGACAGGTCCCAAATCTGCACAGTAAAATAACAACGTACTGGAGTGAATGATATGGAAGAAAATGCAGAATAGAACCAGTGAAGAGCAGAGGTGCCATAGGCACAATCAGAGAACACTGTATAAACATCAGAAGTCCGTGGTTGTTCAATGTCCTACCAGCGAGCATCAGAAATATTGCCGGAACAACCGTGGACATTTTCAAGAAAAAACTGTATTGTTTTCTTCAACAAGTGCCGGACCAACCGGGCTGTGGTGGGTATGTGGGCCTGCAGGCCGCTCCAAGCAACAGCCTGGTGGACCACTCTCAAGTCAACCCTGGCCTCGGGCCGGGCTTGGGGAGTAGAAGAACTCCCAGAACCCCATCAAGCAGGTATCATACTGTACAATGAGAAAATCCACAGGAGCCGTGATGAGGATTCGAACCTATACGCTGGGTATTCCTATATGCATACGCTAAATGACTATACCACAACATGGTCAAAAGAATTGTAACCTGTGGTACTACTGCACCCATTATAATTCCCAAGGCTTCCACTGATGCCAAACCAGGGTTTCACACAATTCCCCCCATGCACTCTGGCTCTTGTCCAGTAATTCTACCTCTGATGTCCCTCTTTAAATTACACAGATATCACATTACAGTCTTGTGATATATCAGTGAGAAAATCCACACGAGTCGTGATGAAGATTCGAACCTATGCACTTGGTAGTCCCAGATGCACGCTCTAAATGAATACGCCACAACATGGTCATGTCATAGTCATACATTTATAGCGTGCACGAGGATTCGAAGAGGATCTTTCTATAGTGCCATCTGCATTCTTTTTTCTAAGCTGATCCTCTTTCTGGCTTTCTGCAAAGGAACATTCCTTAGACTATATGCGTTGACAGTGAAGTTGTTATATTCCTTGCGTATGATTTTTATTACTAGGAGTAGTTTTCCATTGAATGTTTGAAAATTCCAAGTTTAATTTTTCCACAACTTTTGTATAACTCCCAGGTACCTATTTACTACGTACTAGGTGAACAAAGGCATTAGAGGAAGAAAAACATGCACAACCATTTATGTCCTGCCCAGGAATCAAACCCAGGATCCCTGATTGCAAGTAGAGAACAAAGCCAACTGCACTGCAAGACCCAAACTACATATAGTTTTGTCATTTAAAATACTGTATTAGCTAATTACAAAAATGCCACATACAATTAAACTGTATTCTAGTTAAGAAGAAAGTGCCTTTTAATACCGAGCATATATTATGGGAAGATCTCTCACTACATATAAAATATCAAGTAATTTAGTTAAAGCATTAGATAAATATATCCAACCAAAAAATTAGGCTACATCTTACGTATTCATATAACTGAAACCACCTGGACAATCACAAGTATAACCCTAGCTACAAAAAAGCAACGATCAGCTGACACCATCAGCACAACATCCAGCCCTTGTCACCATGCATTAAGTCCAACTAAAACAAGTCTGGTTCCGTCATCACCGTTGCATCAGCTCGCAACAACATTCAAACCTTGCCAAATTGTTAACATTAATATTAATGCATCATCACCAATGGTGCAGCCATCCAGAGAAAAAAAATCTCCATGCAAACTGCATGTACCATATAGTAGTTGTAGTAGGTTAGTCTAGGTTAGGTCGAGTTATCTGGCTCTTATTTTGGCTCTCGTGCACACACACACACACAATACACAAATGTACAAGAAGTTGACCAAATAATGCGATGAGGTCTTGCATGCTGCAAGAACAATTCCTTAATTTGCAAGAAGCTGCAAATTTGCAGTTTCAGAAGCTGCAAGAACACACTCCAGAAGCATCCAAGAACCTGAGCTGTCAAACACTACATGCTATACTGTATACAGAATAAGTTAATCAATTATTTGTGTTAGGTTAGGATTGTTTAAGGCAGCAATGTAGCCATTTCATTTTTTTTTTTTTTTGCAGCTACTCATACAATCTGGCATCTTTTAAGTTGGGTTAAGATGTTTAAAATTTTAATGAATGGTTTCAAGTACATAAAAACAATCATTATAAGTAGTGTATGACTTTTGTGGCACAACTAATGATTTATAAATGCTGGCTTTTCACCCTATGATTTACACCCTGATAGGGTCTTTAGACCATGTAAAATTACTATTAAAATCAGCATTAATTATTGCCAATTAAGTTCCAGCTGAGTAAATAATGGCCTCCTAAAACAGACCCAAATTAATGTAGCAGTAATAATGAGAATAATATAAGTCAACACAGAGCAGCAAAAAATAATTCTTGAACCAAATTCAAGATATTAACCAAAACTGCATCTGTAAAATTGTAACACTAACAAAGAGCAACAATTTCAAGCTCAACAAGCCACAATATATGACAAAAAACTGATTTTTTTTTTCACCCGTAGTGTTATACACCCACAGAACTGCCAATGACCAAAGTCATTGTTAAGACCAGGGTGGTCTTGGATAGCAAAACATGATACTGTTGCAAACAGATCAAGTGAATACACCGAGTCTGGAGGCAGTTGCGCCCGCATTGCTGCAAGACATAAGTGATTATTCCATTGTAAGTGCCTGGCTAATTTTAAGAAAAGATAATATGCAAATTAGTGAATTAACAACCAGAAGGGTACATTATATATGGTGTGACAATGTATGAACTTGGTGGTGGTCAAACAAGTCAGAGTAGACTGTTACTGTGAGAATGAGGATTCAATTTGTAACTGAACTGAAGGGCAAGCGGTCATGTTTTGTCGACTCTTGGGAGTTTGGCCACCGATCTACTTTAATAACTACTATTATATGCAACTCTAAGCTTGCCCCACTGTTGTTGTGGTTGAGTTTAGAGAGGATTTTCTTATGTCTGTGGGGGTTATTGGATATTCCAACTGTGCCTCCTTCCAAGGTTTTTGGCCCTGCCTAATGTTTTGTTTTTGAGCCTTTATCCCTGTCCCAGTGGGATTCTAAGCATACAGTAAATGTCAACAGGCAGTGCAAGGGTTTTGTCATGGAAAAAGGTTCTGTGATTAATGAACCATAAAGTATACATCCTAGTTATTCCGTGTGTCCAGCATGGAGGGGGATACATGGAATATCATATGCCCTAAAACAGGTTAATTTGTGAGAGTACTTTCTTTGTACTTCGTACGAGGATAAAGGTAGATAAAAAACAATTATTTAACATGGGTGGTACTCCCACCAGGGGACACAGGTGTTAAATGAGAACCCAAATAAGCCACAGACACATTATTTCATTGTGTAGGGGGACAGGCAGCCCGAGAGAATCTATACACAGCCTTATATAGACGTCCCCCCTCCCCCAAAGGTCAAGTTAACAGAACCATTACTATTGTGCACCATGACGAAGTTGCACACTTAATGCCTTTATATATATTTTGCTTGTATGTATTCGTTAGTGTAAAATATAGGATGTATGTATATTAAGCTGTGAGGGAATGTCCACCTGGTTGTCAACAATATTTGAGTTTGTTGGTTTACATGAGTAAACTTGTTAAATTCTTTATTTACATTAATATTTGGGTTGGGGTCTGAATAGATGAAGGTAGTATCGTCAGCACTTATCTTTACACTTACTGGAAGCATCTAAGTATCAACTCAAGTATCTTTACACTTAACACTTTTGCGCTCTGCGCAAGCGAGCCTCTCATTATCTAAGGTGGGTCTGGCCATTTCCGTGCGCTCCCCGGGAGCGCGCGGTAATTCTGAAAAGTGTATACTTTTCAACTTCATCACCTCAATTCTTGTCCTAGGATTTTCAATTTGGTATCATTGTGTTCGCAATAGAATTCTCTACAGGACTAAATGCATATAAAGCCCAAAAGCCCCGTGAGAAAGTGAGAGCGTGTTACCTGGGAGCGCACAAGAGCAATAAAATGTGTACACTCTTCACTTTGAACATCTCATTCTCGTCCTAGGTCTTTCATTTTGTTATCATTGTGTTCGAAATAGAATTTCCTACAGGAGTATATGCAAATATAAGGTCCAAAAGCCCAGCATACCACCCACAGTAAACAAAGTGACGGAGCATTACCCCAGTGAGCGCTAATAAAGAGCAATAAAATGGATATACTCTTTTCAACTTTGTTACCTCAATTCTGGTCCTAGGTCTTTCATTTTGGTATCAATGTACTGTATTCTCATTGAAATTCCCTACAGGAGTATATGCATATAATGTCCAAAACCGCGGCAAGACCTTCCCGAAGATGCCGCTACTTTACCGCACCGACAACAGAATGCTGCGTCGTTACCAGACTTCCCTCTATTAAAGTGACAACAATTTTAAATTAATTTATGTCTGAATGTGATGATCAAATGCAATTATGGTATCATTGCAATTTTATAGGAAATTGTTACATTCGAAATATATCTTGGTTCTTATACTTGAAATATTGTTACATTACGCGTTTGAAAAAAAATTAATATCTGCATTTTCAATATAACACATTTACGTTTATCAATGCATCTCTTTGAATTACATAATTTATCAGAATTGTGAAGCCTGTATTGCCCGCCTGGCTGGACACGGATGTGTAGGAAGTTTTCATGTGTCCGGACACCGGCAATGGTGTGGTATTGGCTATTTATTTAACCATAACTTTGCTTTCATTTAAGATATATTTTCCTTGAAATGTAGTCACATTATCGTCTACAGCTGTCTTTCTTCTGACATATAGACCTTTAAGGTTATTTTGTATATATGCAAATTAATTATAAAATTGATTGGCTTGTGTGCAGGCCTTTACACTCCCTGAGCGAGCCATCAACTATAAAAAGGCATATATCTTCCTGTCACTTCAGTTATATTTATGCCAAAGTATTAACATGCAGCTTATAGTTCTGTCTTTATGATGACACAGAAACCTTTGTTTATTACAATATCTAGATTAACATTGATCTTCAAAAGGTCGTAGTTCCCATCAATAGGGAAAGCGTCGGCCAAGAAACCTCGTTTAAAATATGAACCTCTTTGAGCAAATCCACAAGGGCTGTGACGAAGATTCAAACCTACGTCCTACGTGTTATGAACCTCTTTCCTCTCTAATAAGGTATAATGTCTGTGATGGATTCACAAAAACTATTTTATCTTTGCCTTTCTGATAACATGCACAAATATAAGCTTTATTTGTGAATCTCTTAATTAAGCAATATATCGGAGAGCGTGTAGGGTTCGGTGTTCTACGAACAGAAAGGACACGAGTAGTTTAGGTAGCGAATGCATACCAACAAATAACGTTAGAATTTATATAACAAAATTATTGTCCTGTGGAGTTGATTTAACTTCCAGATACGTTTTTTTAAATAAATATTAAATGTGTTGTGGCTATTTATGAAAGATATTAAAAATATGAATTCTACTTGTTAATACCATCAATTAAATGGGACAATTTGAGCCAAGAAGTGCGAGGACTGGATCACTGTGTGTACAGGAGGCTGATATGGCAGCAAACACACTCCAGGCGACCATATATCTTGGATAAGTCGCTCCACAACATTGTCGTTTGGACCCTAGACTTCCTATGGCGTCACCTGCTACATATTTACTTCTAATTTCGTTATGAAATTAGACTATTTCAGAGTAAAAAAAAATAGGTTTGATCATGTTCTACGTTCAGCATCAACATAATAGTGAGTAATTATACCATATTTCTTCATTACTTACGTAATGCTTAAGTAATTTACTCAGGATTTGGGTAATTCTATGGACCGTGCTTACCTTCAGCTGGGAATTCCTCGAATTCGTCGTCCTCTTCCAAGAGACCCAGGTCGATCTTGGGCTTGGTGTCCCCCTGCTTCTCTGTCGACATTGTGAAAGGATACAGGTAGTGTGACCCGGTTACAGGAGGACGAGGGTAAAGGCGCAGCTCTCGTACAGTCAAGAGTACACAATGTTGAAGCGTCACGCCGGGGTGTCGACCAGCTGGGAGCGACACATTTCACAGGGACCCGGACGCCGCGCTCTAAAACGTTTATAAATAAATAAATAATAAATAAATTTTTATTCAGGTAAGGTACATACATACAAGGTAAGATACAAAAGTTGATGGATTTATAGATAGAGCTAGTACATACAATGCCTAAAGCCACTATTACGCAAAGCGTTTCGGGCAGCGTTTACTATATATTTATTTATTTATATACAAGAAGGGACATTGGGTTTGTGAGAATATGGTGTTTACAATCTTGTACAGTCACTAGTACAATTTCTTTCTTTATTATGCACCTCATACCCATCCCGTGGGGGGGGGTGGTATAAAGGATTACAGAGGCACATAATCTGTTCAGGAACTGAACCCTCTAGTTCGTTTAGCTAAGCAATTAACAATTTTTGACGCTAGTTACAAAATTATTAATGTTATATATACATGAACACACTCTCATACGTACATGTACATATATACGTATACATATATACATACACATACATATCTAATCACCCACACAAATTCACATCAATAATCTTTAGTGTCACAAGTGATCAACAAGAGGCTCACAACAGTCACTATACAAGGCACTTTACATCTATGGTGAGTCACACAGTTACTAGTCTTGCTCCACACCCACCCAACTGGGCGGCAGCTTTACAGTCATGTGCTCCACACCCACCCAACTGGGTGGCAGCTTTACAGTCATGTGCTCCACACTCACCCAACTGGGTGGCAGCTTTACAGTCATGTGCTCCACACTCACCCAACTGGGCGGCAGCTTTACAGTCATGTGCTCCACACCCACCCAACTGGGCGGCAGCTTTACAGTCATGTGCTCCACACCCACCCAACTGGGCGGCAGCTTTACAGTCATGTGCTCCACACCCACCCAACTGGGCGGCAGCTTTACAGTCATGTGCAGGCTGCACCTGCAGTAAGCAAATTTTGGCTACTTCGCTAAGATTTCGGGCAGCACATCAAATTACTTCAACCGAGAACTTCAAATCAAATCAAATCAAATCAAATCAAATCAAATGTTTATTTAGGTAAGGTACATACATACAAGAGATTTTACAAAGAGTGATGGATTTATAGTTAGGGCTAGTACATACAATGCCTAAAGCACTATTACGCAAAGCGTTTCGGGCATGAAAAACTTAAATGACTAAAGCTTAATACTAATTGAGCATAAAGAGTAAAATGAAAACATGGAAGGAAAACATAGCTGAAAAAGCAGTACAAATACAATTCTGTCGACAAACAGCGCTCTTTAAAAAAACCAGACATTGGTTGACAATAGAGGGGTAAGGTAGGTTACAGGGAATTTATTAGGTATAGCTTCGTTTTTATCTTAAACTGGTTGAGAGAGGTACAGTCTTTAACATGGTTGGGAAGGTCATTCCACAATCTGGGTCCCTTGATTTGTAGAGCATTTCTAGTTTGATTAAGTCGTACTCTAGGAATATCAAAACTGTATTTATTTCTGGTGTGGTGCTCATGGGTTCTGTTACAACCTTCTATGAAGCTTTTGAGGTCAGGATTGGCATTACAGTTTAGCGTTTTATATATGTATAATACACATGAGAGAATGTGCAGTGACTTAATGTCTAACATATTCAGAGATTTGAGTAGGGGTACCGAGTGATGTCTGGGGCCAGAGTTGGATATTGTCCTAATAGCAGCTTTGTGTTGAGTAATTAGAGGACGTAAATGATTTTGGGTAGTAGAACCCCAAGCACAAATACCATAGTTGAGATATGGATAGATGAGGGAGTAATAGAGAGTCACCAGGGCAGGGCGGGGTACATAATGTCTGATCTTAGAAAGAATGCCAACAGTTTTTGAAACTTTTTTTGATATATTTAGAATGTGTCCCTGGAAATTCAGCTTGTGGTCAATGAGAATGCCAAGGAATTTGCCATCTAATTTGTTACAAATTTGGGTATTGTTTATTTTGAGATTTATTTGATTAGAGGATTTATTGCCAAACAGAATATAGAAAGTTTTGTCAATGTTAAGGGTGAGTTTGTTGGCAGTTAGCCAAAGATGGACTTTATTTAGCTCAGTATTTACTGTGGCATTTAGAGCAAGGGGGTCTGGACTGGAGTAAATGAAGGTTGTGTCGTCAGCAAATAGAATTGGTTTGAGGTGTTGGGAGGCATTTGGAAGGTCATTAATGTAGATGAGAAAGAGGAGAGGGCCAAGTATGCTGCCCTGAGGAACACCAATGTTGATGGGTAGGGTGGGAGAAATTGAATTATTCACAGAAACATACTGGAGCCTGTCAGTTAGATAGGATTTGAGGTATTGCAGGGAGTGTCCTCTGACTCCATAATGATGTAATTTAAGAAGAAGGTTTTGGTGGTTGACAGTGTCAAAAGCTTTACGCAGGTCCACAAATAACCCAACAGGGAACTAATTTTTATCAAGAGCTGCATGAATCGAGTTAAGCATACTAATAAGTGCTTCGTTAGTGCTTTTTTTGGGTCTGAAGCCATATTGGCAAGGGCTAAGTATATTGTGTTTGGCTAGATACGAGTAAAGCTGCTTATAGATTAGTTTTTCAAAATTTTTTGACAAGTTTGGCAGGATTGATATAGGTCTGTAGTTGTTAACATCTGTGAGATCACCACATTTGTGGACAGGCGTTACTCTCGCTTTTTTTAGAATATCTGGAAAGGTTTGGAGTTCAAGTGACTTGTTGAAGAGCAATGCAATAGCAGGGGCTAAAGATCTGGAGGTTTTTTTGTAAATTAAAGTTGGTATTTCCTCAAGGGCACTAGACTTGGTTTTAAGGGAAAGGATTATCTCATTGACGTCAGTGGAATTAATAGGCTTTAGGTACAGAGACTGTGGATAGTTACCTGTAAGATAGTCCTTAACATCAGTACTGGAAGATGGAATATCATTTGCAAGGGATGACCCAATGGAAGAGAAGAACCTATTGAACTCAATAGCAGAATCTGAGGCTGAAAGCTGACCATCGTTATTGGACAGGAGTGTTGGTTTGTTATTTAAAGTCTTCTTTGATCCCAATATTTGTGAAATTGTGCTCCAAGTTTTTTTAATGTTGCTCTTTATTTGGGTAAATTTATCTTCGTAGTATTTAGTTTTGGCTCGTCTAATTATCTTAGCAATAATAAGTAATTCTTTGAGAATTCTTTGGAGACAATTCCTAACCTATACTTCTTCTCAAGGTCATGTTTTTTATTAATGGATTCCCATTGTAAGCCAGGGATTGTTAAGCCTTTTGGTTGTGACTTGTTTTGTAAGCATAGGACAGTGGGTGTTATAAAGGCTAAGAGTTTTTTGAAGAAAAGATTGCCCTGCTAGGTTGATGTCCCCTATGTTACCTAACTCGGACTCCCAGTTGACATTATCAGCAGCAGTTATAAAATTGTCTATAGCAGTTTCATTGTGCAGCCTAAAACTTAACTCCCTTGACTCTAGAGGTGGTTTGCTAATGTTAGTTAAGAGAAATGTGGGGTAATGGTCTGTAGTGCTATCGGTGATTATACCTGAAGTAAGCGAAGAGGTTATGTTGGTCCAGATGTGATCTAGAGTCGTGGCAGTACTATCAGTGATTCTAGTAGGTCTAGTGATTAAGGGTATGAGGAAGCAGGAATTCATACAGTTGAGGAAGCTAACAGCAGTAGGGTGTTCTGGCTCGCAGAGGTCAATATTAAAGTCCCCTGCGATAATTAGATGGTTTTTGTTCAGTCTGTTATCAAGTATTAGATTTCTAAGGTTTGAGTTGAATTCGTACACATCAGTGTTAGGAATTCTATAGACTGCACCCACAGACAGGACAGACTCGGCACCCTTGACTCTGAAGCTGGCGAAGATATACTCCCCACAGCAGTCTCTAGTTCTAATTTCTTTTAAGCATGTTAGTTCTTGGTGGTAATAAAGAGCAGTGCCACCACCTCTCTGAAGTTGACGACAGTTGTGAATTGCCGAGTAGTTAGGCATGTTAAAGAGTTGAGTAGTATCCACTTTCAACCATGTTTCAGTAAGTATAATAAACAAGATCAACAACAAGATCTTGTAGATCTGAGGCAAAGTGAAATTGACACCAGTAATCCCATCTATCATCATACTATCATGCAAGAGGAGCCACACATCTATGGACCATCCAATAAATCAGCAGACTTCTAGATGTTACTACTGCTCGGTTTAGACTCGGTTACAAGTATCTCTGGGAATTCTCATTATCTGCTGATGTAGACCTGACCAAATGTAAACTGTGTCAACAAAATTATTCGCACACCCTCCGTCACTATGTGATGGAGTGCAAAAAGATACGTGAATTTAGAGACAATTCTATAACCAATGTTCCAGCGATGTGTAAATATTTCATTCAAAATTATCTGCTACCAGAAATTTTAGCCAAATATCCCCAGTTTGCTAACTGTAGGTAGTAACTAAGTGATTGTAACCTATCCACCGCTGCCCACTGGATGGGGGGGGGGCGATGTGCAGGACAAACATATAAATTTTGACACTAGCTCTCCACATATGTCAGTTGCTTAATTTAGAACCTGTACTTGAGGTCGATCTCGAACCCATTGTTGATGTGACGACTTATATTGAATTTTGCAACTAGTTCATCAAGATTGTAACTTGCTTAGCTAAATGAATTGTGGGGTTCAGTCCCTGAGCCCATTATGTGCCTCTGTAACCATTTCCACAACCGCCCACAAGATGGGTATGGGGTGCATAATAAATGAACTAAACATCAAATTACAACTTTTTATACCGAAAATATGCCAATTACTGAAAACGGCGATGACTCCTTAGCGTGATTTTTGAGCCGAATTCTGACTCTCTGTCATATTTTGCATATTTTGCACAAACCCCCCTGCAGTTTTCAAAATATCTGAAATGTCCGAATTCTGAAATTTGACTCCTGAAAACGGCGTGATTTTTGAGCCGAATTCTGACTCTCTGCACCTATTTTCATTTTCAAATTACAACTTTTTATACCGAAAATATGCCAATTACTGAAAACGGCGATGAGTCATATTTTGCCC